TCCCCGTACAGACATCCTGCACGTCCCAGCTTTCATCACCATCTGGCGGTACCTCCTCCGACCACCGGGCACGGGGGGCTCCTCGGCACTCCTGTGCCCTCCTGCAGTGCGATGGTGATCCCAAGGGCTGTGACCTCTCATGTCTGCGAAGGTCCCCTATGCTAGTCCCTGCGTTCCCAAAGAGCAGTGCGTGCTAAGTCGCTCGGTCGTCCCCGATGCTTTGTGACCCCATGGACTGCAGCCTGCCAGGCTGCTCTGACAATGGGATTTTTCAGGCAAGAATACTGGAGTGGGTTGTCTTGCCTTCTCCGGGGCATCTCCCCGAGCCTGGGATTGAACCCGCGTCTCCGGCACTGGCAGGCAGATTCTTTACCACAGAGCCACCTGCGGAACCCAAGGAGCAGGGACTTCAGCTTTTCTCACCTGTATTCTTAGCACCTAGGCAAGGCACTCAATAACATCTGGGAGAGAAAGAATGAATTCAGATTACCTGAGAAGTGGTACAGACTGCTGGTAAAGAACGTAAGCACCTGGACTGGAATCCCAGTGCTGTTACTTTACGACCAGTGTGAGCCTCAGTTTCCCCATCAGTAAAATGGGGTAATAGGTGTTACCCACTCTCCAAAGAATAATGTGAACGTTCAGTAAGATGGTGAGAGGAAAAGACTGGGAGCTGATCAGATCAGGGGCAAGCAGGCAGGAAGTGCGAGGTGATCACAGACTTGGTTTGTATTTAAGCAGCTGCCAGGTAACTTTTGGAAACTTAAGAGAACATTAGCACCAATTAGGTGTGGGTGTTGACTGAGCACCTTCAGGGCATGATTATGTCCATTTTAATGCCGAAGAGAAGAGGAGCCATGTACAGTGTCCCAGCGTCTTGTCTGAGGACCTGCAGGGAGGCAGCTTCTGGGGGCTACAGGAGGCAGCGCAGAAGTCAAAACCACAAATCCATCAGGAAAGGTCAAATGGAAAGCCGTCTCTCCATTTGTCTCGCCTTCCAATTGTCACCCCGCTGTCAGGAACCGAAGCGCTCGTTCCACCAGGCTCTGAACCCCCTCTGCTTCCTGTATGCACGTCTCCAATCTGCCCTCCTCCCCTTGCTCCCACCTCGCGGTGCTGCCCACGTCAATCCCCCCACACGTTTCTGCCAGGACTAATTCATGCTCCTCAGATACTCCTACTGCCAGTTTTCTTTTTTCACAGAACAAGTGGCTGAAACCACTTTTAATGTTCCATAAAGCAAACAATCCTGGGGAGGACTGGATGGGAGATATGTGGAGAAACATCAAATACATGCCAGAACAGCCTCGATAAAAGATTTTTTTATATTTCAGGGTGCCCTTAATTTTCACCTCAGGCATCATCTTTCTAATTTGGAAGTTAAGAGAATGAAAAGAGGGCTCCTCCAGCCGTGATCCCAAGCAGGCCACCAGCTGTACATCACAGAGGCTGCACAATCAGATGTACACGTGGAGCTCTAAAGATGACTGCCGGACACACACCCATTCCCCAATCCCTTCCCCCAACCATCTGACTACAGGAGCTAAAAAGCTCAAGTCCGCTTTCCTAGCCTTCCTTGAACCTGGGTGTAGCCACATGATACAACAGGGGTAGCAGAACATCAGTGGAATTTGGCTGTGCGTTTGTGGGACAGTGCTTGCTTTCTTGTTACTCACAGTACCTCTTTTGCTTCTTTCTGTCTTGAATGGAAACATGATGTCTGATCTGCAGCAGCTATCTTGCAACCATGAGGTGACAGGCAGGAAGGAATGGCTGATGGGAACCATGGAAATGCCAACTCAGAGGCCTATCCTAGTTTGGTCTCAGCAACTGGGACTTCTTTGGGAAGGACTCTCCCATTTATTAAGTCGCTATAACTTGGATTTTCAGTTACTTGCAGCTAAAAGCATTACTGATTCAATAGCTCATCCTTGTCTATATAACCTCATCACTAATTCAACACTATTGCTGTCATACCAGGTTTTAAAGTAGATGTCCTGTCTCACTTGATCTTCTTTGAAGTTTTAGACCCATTTATCCAAGAATCATTTATTTCTACATCTCTACTAAAATGATTCATTGTCACTGCAAACTCAAAAGGGTCAGGACTGTGTCTCTTCCAGGACTCCTTATCCCAGTGAGTAACTTTATCATTCACTTTGTGTCCAGGTCAGGGGCTTTTGACATCATCTCCTACATGCAATTTCAATATCATTCAATATCACCAAGTCCTTAGGCTTTGCCATATGAATATTTTTCTGACCTACCCATTTATTCCCACTACCATCTAAGTCATGCGTGCCTGGAACACTGCAGTAACCTCCTAGCTGGTCTCTCTGCATCCTCACTTGCTCTTTCCACGGTGAATTTATAAAAACACAAATCTGATCATGTTACTCCTTTCCTTAGAATCCTTTAATGGCTTCTCAGGACTCCCATGATAAAGTACAGATTTCTTAAGGCACTGCCTGATCTGGCCCCTAACCATTTCTTCAGGTTTTCCAGTCCTATCTTGAGTTTCTCCTCTTGGCTCTCTTAGTTTCAGCTATACTGTCATTATTTCAGTTTCTTAAATGTGTCATACACATTTCTGTTTTAGAATTACCATTTGTTTTGTTCCCTATATGGAGTGACAGGGGTTCCCTTACAGGTTTATGGCCTATTTAACCCTTACGCATCCCTCTACAGCTCAAACAATAATTTTCTATTTCAGATGTTATACTTTTATGTTCTAGATTTCCATTTTTTAAAAAATGTTTCCATTTCTGTCCAAAGATTCCCCTGTCCACTCATCTGCTCACTCCTTATTACCATCTTTTCCTTTATCTCAGGATCTATCTCTCTTGTGCTGACTCGCTTTCCCCCCTTTATCATAGTTCACAATTTCCTGGTTCTTTGCAAATCTAGTAATTTTTTACTACATGTTGGACACTTCAGATAAAACCAACCTTTCAGAGAGTCTGAACTACGCTGTTTCCCTTTTAAGGTGTTGAGCTTTGTTCTGAAAGTTACTTTTGAAACTGTCAGGCTTATTTTTAATTAAGGTGAGTCTATTTTGATTTTGTCCTTGGTCCGAAAGAGTCATGCACATTTGTAATATATAGCCTTCCTGGGGTCTCAACTGCATACTTTCAGCTGAACTGTAACTCCAAGTCTCAGAGCACTGTGTAGCCCCCTGATAGCTCTGTTCCCCTCTCGATCCCAGAGCAATCATTTTCTGTTAGGCCTTATGAAGTCTTGCTTTGTGCACTCGTAGCCCTCAGTCAAGGATGTGCAGTGAACACAGATATCTGCTCACCCTTAACCACTCCCACGCCACCCCCTCTTCTGATTTTCAGGGCAAACCAAGTGTTGACTTCTAATGTCAGCTTTTGCAGTTAATTCTTCCCTGGAGTTCATCAAGAAGCAGGCAAGTCACCATGGTAACTAACCACTTCTGCTGAACAGTTGAAAATTCACAGCTGACAATTTAAAGAATAATGCCACTCAGGTTATTACATTTCCAATTAGAGGCAGAGGTCAAACAAAAGAGCTAATTAGGTGGCCTTCCCACCAATGCCTATTAGAGTCATCTGACAGGTTCCTGAGGCGACCTGGCATGCCTCCTGGTGATGCAGTCTCCCCAACTGCCAGCAGGTGGGGGCTCCACTGCCTGGGCTGTTATAGAAAGCTATGTCCCCAGCTTGCTTCTATTCAGCCTCTCAATACTACTAGCGTGCTTGAAAGGAGCAAGGCATTATGTTAGCAAGTTCTAATGAGTAGTTCTCCAAAACCATATGCTACATTCTGGATAAATTAAAATGGGGAACATTTTCATTTAAGACATGTCTTTTGTGAGAGAACTAGAGGTCATATAACCATATGGCACTGGTCTGGTGAATTGGAGTACTATAGTTCTAATTCAGCAAAGTTTTGTAGTGATCAGAGGTTATTTATAATTTGTGCTTATTTTGCAATGTAAAAAGTACAGAATTGGATCTGACCCAAAGTCCACTTCAGTCCAGCACCCCATCTGTGATGTAGCAACCCATGGGCCACAATGGAAAGGTATAACCGTCCTACGTATGGTGGCTACCACAAAGTAAGAACTACCATGACATGCCATCAGTAACTCTGCATGATGTCTTTACCTTTTCAGATCCTGCTGACTTCCAGTCTTATGCTAATATAGAGATTTCAAATTGCCACAGGAAATGCCCCCCTTGATTTGTTCTAATCACTTTTCTCTGGAATTTCAGGACGTGATTCTCAATTCCATATCCTGAAATGTGGTAGGCTCAAAGAATATCTTGCACAGAGTGGTTCTGGCATACCCAGAATAAGCTATTTCACCCAGGCTACTGGTGATTTAGTAAGCAAGCCCCACCTTTCAATGGTTGGTTTTGCCTTGAATTTCTGAAAACATAAAGAGCCAGAGGCAACTTAAAGATCACTTGGTCGAACCCTCTCCTTCTATTGATGAGGAAACTGAACTTCAGGGACTCACACTGATTTACACCATTAGTCAGAGACACAACAAGATTTATAGAGTCCAAAGCTTTGCTTCCTGCCTTGGTTCACTTTCACCCTGGCCTTTCTGCATGAAGACGGCCATCTCCTCACTCCTTTAGATGGTCTCCTCTGGACCCTCAGAAACGTCATTCTATCTTTCTGGAGGTCTTACTAGAACTACAGAGATGAAAATACTTTTTTCCTTTCTAGTTTTATTGATGATACAGTCACAGATAAAGAGCAATGTTTTTTGGCCTTTAGAGCAGTACAGTGATTTGTTGAAAGGTCAGCAAACAGTGGCCTACAGCGACCTCCAGGTGCTGTTCTTGATTTCCAACTGAAGGACCCAAATCCATCAAGCTCTATGTGAGTGACCCTGAGGTCCATGTGCTTCCTGCCTGCACACCCATGGCTCCAACAGCCCTAAGTTCACCTCCAACAGCGAGGCTGCTATTCAGGAGACCTGCTCACACACAGCCTTACCGGGGTGCCTGCAGGCTGACACTCACCTTCGCATAGGCAGTTGTCTTAATGAACCACTGTCTGAGGTACTTCTGCTCCACCTTTGCTCCAGAGCGCCATGAACAGCCATGCTCATCCACCTGCTCGTTGGCAAGCACTGTTTGGTCCACCGGGTCCCAGTTAACCAAGGCCTGTGATAATTCATGAAACGAAACGATGCAATCTGGTGAGCATACTGAATAGGGTCATATGGAGGTCCCTCACAAGTGAGAGGGTCTACAAAGGCAGCATCTCTGCTCTGAGACTTACAGGCATCTCCTTGGAGCATCGTTTGGCAAGGAAGCCACCAGTAAGCTGAAAAGAGAGAATGTGAACCGCCTCGGTGCTTTCACCTCGTCAGGACAGGCCTGGGAAGGGAGGCTGTATGCATGTGACTACCTCAAGTTCAGAATCTGCTTGTATAAAAGGATGAACTTGCAGATTGGAAATTTTAGTAAATAGAAGGAAAGGAGAAAATAATGATGCCTGGAACTTAGCAGAATCGGGTTATTTTAGGGAAAAAACAGGTCTGTCTTAATAGAAGCAGCCAACACCTGCTGAGTGATCACCGTGGGCCAGATGCTTCCCGAAGGTCGGCTCTAATCCTTGGGGCAACCTTCTGAGGTAAGAACATTACTATCCTCATGTTGCATGGAGGAAGTTAAGGAACAGAGAGATTAAATAACTTGCCTGAGGTCACACAGTCAGTAAGTAACAGAGACAGCAGGGTAGGAACTCAGGTCTCTAGGAACTGTAAACATTTTTGTGATTTTTTAAAAAAAATTTCTGTTTAAATTAAGGTACAACACACAGAGTACTGTGAATAAATCTTAAGTGTACAGCTCGATCTATTTCCACCACTACTCACCAAGACACAGAGCATTCCCAGCACCCGAGAAAATTCTGTTCTGCCTTCAATCCCAATCAACATCTGCCCCCCAAAAGGTAACAATATTCTGAGATCTTTCTCCATAGATTTCTTTGTCTGATAGAACCTATAGTCTTAACCACGATGAAGTTTCTCTCTATAGAGTTCTAATTCATTTTTAGTTTCATTTAAAATACCCCTGCCATTTATATTCACTCCTTTTAAAACAGCATTTGTTTTTATTTATTTCTTTATTTGGCTGTGCCACCTTCTAGTTGCCACATGTGGGATCGTTGAGGCATGCAGGATCTTTAGTTGTGGCATGCAGGATCTAGGTCCCTGACCAGGGATACAACCCAGGCCCCCAGCATTGGGACCACCAGGAAATCCTGGGCATTCGCTCCTTTGTGACATTTAGGTATACTTAGACAAACAGGGCAATGAATACAGAGACGTGTTTGGGCAGAACAACATATATATTGTGTCTTAAAAATTTTTTTTTTTAAATACTCTTAAGGCATTTATTTATTAAAACGTTCTCTGCCAAGATTTCACATTAACTTAAAATTCAAATCAGTCTTTACTGAGGTCTCTACTGAGGTCTCCACCTTCTCCAGCTATCAGTGCTACCAGCATCCACAAAGTGAGCCCCATGGTCAGCCTCTTTGTTCCCTGGGTGAACCAACTAGATGTTAATACTGCTCTGCTACAGGTAAACGCTCCTAACTCAAAACTTATTGGAAAAGGAGTGAAACTTCTGCAAAGTGCACTTTTAGAAGAGGTACTTTTTGCTTATGAAAAGAAACCAGTGAGTCCTCTAAGAATAATAAAAGGGAGTCTTTTACAGTTAAGCACATGATTTGGAGTGAAGAATTCGGATGTTGCTCGGCTGGTCCAGGCTATTAATACTCTTCTTGTTCCTCCTGTGGGCCCCTTCATCAGGTATCACGAAGCCTTCGTCTGTGGCGTAGAGAATGTTCACGATCCTCTGCAGCACAGGGTTGTTCTCCCCCTCGTTCTCCTGGCAAATCAACTCAATGTTCCTCAGCTTTCCAAAACAGAAGTCTCTCTCCTTCTCCAAGTCTTCAACAGTAAGCTTCAATACGCTGACCTGCTGCATCAGCTCAGCTGCTTCGTCATCTCCATTCCCTACACCAGGATTCTTCCGCACCACACCTGGGCCAGCCTTGGGGGTTGCAGTAGTTCTGTGTGTTGCAATGGGCCTCTGTGGAGCAATTTTAGCCATGATCTTTCGTGCTGGCAATAGGTCTTTAGGTGTGGTCTTTTTTCCACTGGGGTGGACTGGACTATCATCTGCACTGCTAGAGCTGAGAGGTTTCTTCGGTTTGTTCAGAGCGGGAGCAACAAGGGAGGGGGCCACTGCAGTTTCTTGACCTTGTCTGGCAGCTACAGGGTCATACTCTTTCCCATCATAGTTTGCATCAAAAAACTTCTTGAACCACTGAACGAATTCAAAATTGTCCTGAAACTTTCCTTTTACTAATTTGTCCACAGGAATTATCTGCAGAAAAACATAAGATTCTTTAGTTCAAAGCATGAGGTTTCTGGCAAGCATCAAAGGTGTTCACCTTCATCAAAATCAGTATAAAGCTCTGCTAAAAGGAGAAAAGAGGCAAGAACTAAATGTTCAGTAAGCCCCTGGAAGGTTGTAGAGCAAGTTTCATTCAATTTACCTTCCACAAAGAACTTAACAACAGCCAATCCCCACAGTTCAAGTCCATCAAAAGAAACCAGAAATGCAGAAGAAACAAGTATCATACAGAAGTCACACACACACCCAAACACATTCTAAGATGTCATTCCACTGTAAAAAGTAAACCTCCTGTGGAACTCACATGGCCACAGTGCCTGACACAAGGTACCAAGGCCAGAACACAAAATAACAAGCATTCATGATGAACTGTGTTAAAAAAAAAATTTTATCTTAAAAATACGTCAAGGTACACAATCAATCCTGGGATAGACTTCTACAAAATGGCATGTTTTTCAAGTAATCACAATCCTATTAAAACATACTTTAAAGGACCCTCTAAGGTTTTTATTGTATAAGAATACTGTGATATCAGGTATTACTTTAAATGGTCAGAGCTTAACTATCTTTTAACTCCTCAAGGATTCCAGTTACAATCTAACTATCCACCCCTCTGAGCAAAAAAATTTTTTTTAATTTTTTGGTATGAAACATTAACAAAGTTTTATCTGGAACTTACTTCAAAATAATCAAGGACTACAGGGGGTAGAATAGAGATATATATGAGTTGATATCATTGAGTTGATAACCACTGAGGTACATGGGGGATCCCTGCACTATTCTCTCAACTTTTATATACTCTAGGAATCTGCCTTATTCAAAAAAATTAATTCCATAAAAAGAAAAAGTATTTTGTATAAGCTAAACCTAGTTTAAACCATGCTTGATAACTAAATGATATCCTTACAATACAAATGCACATTTTATATATTGCAGAGACAAAATTAAATTAAGACTGATTTCAAAGTAAATAAAAAATCAGATATAGAAGCAAGATAATTAGGGGGTGATTACAAGCTTTCCTGAAAAATGTTTCCCCCCTCAAAATGGCTTAAAGGATAAGCCCTTTTAATGGGGGGGAAAGCTGCTTAATTGTGCAATAACATATTATCTACTAAAACAGAGATATTTTTTTCCAATGAAGCCTGGTGGACTCTGTTTCTTAAAGCTTCATGTAACCTTGAGGGCAAGAGGGAACTTTCCAGCACCTACTAGCTATAAAAATATTGTAGTTTATACTTTGGTTTTATACTTCACTAAAAAAGTCAAGTAGTTCTAGAATCTTCTCTATTAGAATTACTTATTCTACCATATGGTATGCTTTACAGAAGTAAATTCAGAGATTAAAACAATTAGATCTCAGATTAATATATTAAACAGTTTAAAAAAAAAAGGGTACAGATTTACAGATTGATTTTCCAGAGAGCCGAGAAACTTTACGATGAAGAAAGATGACCACAAGGGAACCAGGGATAGGACAACAGAGGGACACATTGCTCCCGGTAAACTGTTAACGCGAGAAAAGATAACTATACAAATTGGGAAAAGAAAAACAAAAACATCCAAAGTCACGGGCCAGCACTGGTAGCCTTGGTAATTATGACGAGTTAAGAAACACCCTAAATGAAAGAATAAAGCTTACTTACTTTGTCAACACCCATCCTCTTAAAACCTGCTTGCAGTATTTTGAAGTTCTGGATGTATTCATGTTCTAGCTTAGCTTGGAATTTCACTTTCTTCAAGGCAATGGAGCCAGGGAACAACNTTTGTCAACACCCATCCTCTTAAAACCTGCTTGCAGTATTTTGAAGTTCTGGATGTATTCATGTTCTAGCTTAGCTTGGAATTTCACTTTCTTCAAGGCAATGGAGCCAGGGAACAACATGTCCATAAACTGACAATAGGCAGCCCCTGAATGAGTAAAAGAAGAAGAAAATACACACCTGAATATTAAGTGCACTAGCTATTAAAGAAGAAGGGTAAAAGTTACCAACTCGCTTAACCCCCACACAATTTGAAAAGTTGTGGAAGTGTACCTACAAAATCCCAAAGCGTCATTTCCACTTGACTTTGAAATCAGTAACAGAACTGTGGTTCTATTTAAGTTCTACAACATACTTGCAACCTGAAATCCCATGAAGAGAAAAGGAATGTTCCTATGAAATTTTAACACTATTCTTTGTAAGAAACAGGCATGACAATAAAATGACAACTAAAAGAAAAATGAATGCCAGCAGGAGGAGGAATTCCCCAATATGGCAAAGATCCATCCTCTGATCAAAGATCCATCCTCTGACTCAGGTTAAAAATGTGTTTTTCCTAAGATTCGGCCTCCTTGGGCTTTTTACATCTCTAAATAAACTTAATTAACCTATCAGTTTATGAACAAAGTTGAATAGAAGGAATCTTTGTGTTCTTCCATTTAAATTTTTTCTATTTTAAAGGCCACTATAAGAAATTACTGCATATAGTTCATCCCATTTGCTCCCCAATTTCTTCCTTCCTCCACTTGTTCATTTTTATCCATCACTACCCCCAAAAGTGTTTTCTTGGCACTTAAAATTTAGGAATGCAATTTCTCTAATGTCTACTAAAATGCACTCTCCTAATACAGGGCAGGCTCCGTGTACACTTACTGCCTTTTCAGGAAAAGGAGGCAAGAAATCCAGCAACTATGCGATAGGTGTTCTGCAGAATGAGGCAGCCTTAATAAGCATATTCAACTTATTTTACATCAGGCCAAACTGGCTTCCTGCCAGATCTGGCATAAAGAGTGCCATTATCATTATTTTTGGAAAGATGCAAAAAGAGCAGAAACACTTCAGTGATCAGAGTGACATTCTTAGTAGAAAGGAGCACTAGAAAGTGAAAGCCTGATTCTTGAGGTGGCTTGATTTATTTATTCATCCAACAAAAATGTACTATGGGAATTCTATGTGCCAGGCAGTGAATTAGCAATATTTATGCTTTTTTAAATGGAGGCACTAATACCTTTCTAAATTTCATAAGACAACAACCCAGTCTCTTTAACAAGTTAGTAGCAAGAAGATGATTGCTATATTTTAAGAGAGATTTAAAAGTCAACTTTTTGTTGACTGCAATAATTTACCAACTGCAATATAAGGTCCTGATACATACAAATCAACTTAAAACACAACATATACACAGAAGGTAATCTATGAAGTATACCTACAGCACCGCTTCACATATGAAAGGTATTTTTTATGAACCAGCAAAATAAAGTACATTTACTAAATACACAGTTTTCTCAAACCATTCATAAGACTTTCCATTCGAAACCACTTAAAAGCATCAGTCATCTGCTCCTCTAAAAAAAACTGCCTGAAGAACTTTCAGTTTTTATTTTAGAGCTAGAAGAATCCTTAGAGCCATTATAAATTTAAAATCTGAGGACCAAAAACTGTGGCTCAAGACCAGAGGCGAGAGACCAAGCTCAGAGCCAGACCCCAGGTATTCTGACTCCCTGACCACTGCTCTTTCCTATGTCATCATATACTTTCTTAGAACACCCTACCCCAGACTAGAGCATTTCCTGGCTTAGGGAAGAAAGAGGTATATACCACGCTGCTACACTCTAGCTGGCTGAAACAGAGTTAATATATGAAGAAAAACACGAGGATTCCAATAATAATAGACAAATCAATTGACAATTCACACATACAAAAATGTAAATACCTAATAAACACACAGGGATCCAACCTAAGGGATCTAAGGGAATAATTTCTTTTTTTTTTGAAAATACAGCAAGGGGAATTCCCTGGCAGTCCAGTAGCTAGGACTCACAGTGCAGCCAAGAAAAAGAAAAAAAAAGTAAACTTCCAAGAAAGGGGGAAAAAAGTAAATTTAATAAAGTAATACACATTAAAAATACATCTAGTAAAGATTTACACATGAAAATTGTATAACTTTATTCACAAGAGGAAAAAATGGAAGCAACCTGTATGTCCAATAGTAGGAGCAATCAGTTACATAAATTCTTAAGAGAATATTATGCAAGCAATCAAAGCACATTTTTTGGTGGGGTTTGGGGGAAGAGCTCAAGATTTAATGTTAAAAGAAAACTTAAGATACAAAAATATATCTATAACATGTCTTCATATATGTAAAAACATTCATCTTTATATGTATAGAAAAAAACTGGGAAAAAGCACAATGTATAAACCATACAAGGTTACTGTTTTGGAGATCAAATATGACTGAACATGGCCATCTCTGAGAGGTGGTACTGAATATATTATTTTTTAAAATTATATACAATGAAAATTACTTTTATAATAAGCACACAAAAGAAGATAAATGCTTAAAAGGAAAAAGTCAGGTGGTTTTTTACAAAAGGGCTCAAAACTCCTGACCTGTATATGTCTCAACTGGGTACAGAAGAGGTTCAAAGGGGCTTTCCTTCCAGTCTCAGCCTAACAACAAAGTCTGGCAACACAAGCAGCACAAGGGGACTGCTCTCAGATGACCGCTGTCTCAATGCTTTGGGGCAGGAGAGCAGGTTCACGTAACCTGTGGCTGGGAGATGCAGACAGCCTTAGGGTGGGACCAATGTGTCATGACATCAACCACCAGGTCCCCGTTGACCACCACAGCCCCGTCCTACGAGATCTGTGCTACAAGCAGAGAACACACAGGGCACAATGCGGCCCCTGCGCCAGACGCCTGCACTATCTCAAGTACACAGGCTCTCGACCATTTTGGGCCAAGGCCCCTTGGAGAATTAGATGAAAGCTGAAGTCAACAATCTATGCAGGCCAGGACTTCCTTGGTGGTCCAGGGGCTGGCAAGTCCATCTGCCAATTTAGGGGACAAGGGTTTGATCCCTGGTCCAGGAAGATTCCGCATGCGGAGAGGTGCCACAACTACTGAAGCCTGTGCACCCTAGAGCCCACGCTCTGCAACAAGAGACGCCACAGCAATGACAAGCCTCTGCATGGCAACCAGAGAGTAGTCCCCCTCTCGCTTCAACTAGAGAAAGCCCACAAGCAGCAATGAAGATCCAGCACAGTCAAAAATTTATTAATTTTTAAAAAATTATTCATGTTGATGTATGGCAAAAACCACAATATTTTAATTATCCTCCAATTAATTTTTTTTAAATGAGTTTAGGTCTGAGAGTCTGACCAAGAGTCATCACCATAACTAAGAGTGAGGGGAAAAAGATTGAAAGAAAAAAAAGAATTCTACATAAGACAGATGCCCTATCAGAAAACTCCACATTAAGAACTCTCAAAAGTGTTACACACAGGAAACACACTCCATTAAATGCAAAAGTGCTCAGGCTTCAGGAGTAGGTGAGGCTTAAGTCATTTTAAATGATGAATACAATTTGGAAACAGTCCCTGTCCAGGCATCAAAAAAAATAAACAGCCAAAACAAGTCGGAAATGGAAGGCTGTAAGGCGTCATTAATGCAGGCATTAAAGGTCAGTCTGAAGACATCTTAACATGAGAAAAACTACCCTATCTTAATTTTAAAAGAAAGACAATTGTACAACATTGTGTGCTTGTATTTGATACCTACTACAACAGTCTGTAACAGCAACAGACTGGAAATAAATGAAATGTCCATTAACAGGGGACTGATTCAAAGAAATTATGGTACTACAGAGCCACAAAAGAAAAGAACATGACATACACTGCACGGACAATGGAACACTCTCCAGAATGTCCAATGTGCTCAAATACGGCCCCGCTTGTGTAAAACGGGAAAGAGAAGAACACGCACACAAGATGCGGACAGGTGGATGTTTCTGCTCCTACACACTCTCTCTGGAGGCCACCCAGCTGATGACACTGGTTACTTCTGCTCTTACTTTTCACAGGAAGGCTTTTCACTGTTTACCTTTTTGTTTCTTTTGAATTCTAAACCATTTTGAGACTTGGTTATTCAAAAAGTATGTCAATTACGTTTTAAAATTATGGAAAATACTGAAAATATAGCTAAAATGAGTAACCTTGGACAAGTTAGTTAACTTCTCTCAGTTTTTCTATCTATAACATGGGGATGACAGACCTTACCTTCCAGGTTACACAGGTGAAGCACTTTGGAAAGCGCCTGACCTATGGTAAGAGCTCAATAAATAAAACCTTAATTACAGGGAAAAATACAGTTAAAAGATAACAGTGATTATCACTTGTAATAAAACAGATAACAGTTTTATTCTTGTTTCTATGTTGTTGTTCAGTGGTAAGTTGTGTCCGACTCTATGCAACCCCAAGGACTGCAGCACACCAGGCTTCCCTGTCCTTCACTGTCTCCCAGAGTTTGTTCAAATTCATGTCCATTGAGTCAGTGACACTACCTAAACATCTCATCCTCTGCCACCACCTTCTTGTTTTTTGCCTTCAATCTTTCCCAGCATCAGGGTCTTGTCCAATGAGTCAGCTCTTCATATCACGTGGCCAAAGTATTGGAGCTTCAGCTTCAATCCTACCAATGAGTATTCAAGGTTGATTTCCTTTAGGATTGACTAGTTTGATCTCTTTGCACTTCAACAGATTTTCAAGAGTCTTCTCCAGCACATTTCCCAAAGCATCAATTCTTTAGCATTCAGTCTTCTTTCAGTCCAACACTCACAACCATACATAACTACTGGAAAAACCAAAGCTTTGACTCTATGAACCTTTATCGGCAAAGTGATGTCTCTACTCCTTAATATGCTGAATAGGTTTATCGCAGCTTTCCTTCCAAGGAGCAAGCATCTTTTAGTCTTGTGGCTGCAGTCACTGTCCACAGTGATTTTGGAGCCCAAGAAAATAAAATCGGTCACTGCTTCCAGTTTCTCCCCTTCTAGCTGCCATGAAATAATGGGACAGGATGCAAAGATGTTAGTTTTTTTAACGCTGTGCTTTAAGCTAGCTTTCTTTTTTAACACATTTCTATAAAGAAGACCTGATTACTTATACTCAGAAGAAAATAAGTTTGTCTTCTGCTTCAATTAACACAAAGAGGTACTTGAAGAATTAATTAAGCAAAAATAAATTTAAAGAGACAGCTCCGTGAGCAGAAGAGTAACTCAATAAAAATGGTCTCTTCAAAAGGCCGAAGACAACCACGGGACAGGGAGACAGGCGTGAAGGGCCCAGACTACCACGGGACAGGGAGACAGGCGTGAAGGGCCCAGACTACCACGGGACAGGGAGACAGGCGTGAAGGGCCCAGACTACCACGGGACAGGGAGACAGGCGTGAAGGGCCCAGACTACCACGGGACAGGGAGACAGGCGTGAAGGGCCCAGACTACCACGGGACAGGGAGACAGGCGTGAAGGGCCCAGACTACCACGGGACAGGGAGACAGGCGTGAAGGGCCCAGACTACCACGGGACAGGGAGACAGGCGTGAAGGGCCCAGACTACCACGGGACAGGGAGAGATGTATATAGGGCCCAGACTACCACGGGACAGGGAGAGAGGTGTGTAGGTCCCAGTTTGGAGGCCACTGTGGCAGCAGCCTGCAAACTGACAAAAGGCTACAGCCAGAAGACCCTACAGAAGCCCAAGAGAACTCTGAGTCAGCCTCAAAAGATGCTTCTCAGGCCTGAGACACGGGAAGAATGGTGGAATTAAGGTCCAAAATGGAAAAGGGAATCAACTTGACGAGAAAACAAAGTAGGAGACGCCTGGTCAGGAGCATGGTCTCACTCTCAGAACGGCTCCAGAACAAGACTGACAAGCTGTTTCATATAAATTCAAGGGCCACCAGGGTCCCACAGTAAGCTAAGGAAAAAGGAAATCTAGCATTTGCCTGGGAGCATCTGAACACCTCTTCCATTCAGCAGAGCATAGGAACTGTGAAGCTGGCTAGCCTGGACAGAAGGCAAGGAAGGGAGATCTGAGGACATTCACGCTCAGAGCACCACGCTGGGCCCTTGGAAAAGTGCAGAGGGGCCTGATCAGGGACTGGAACTGAAAGAAGACAGGAATGGAATGGAAAGCAATCAGCATTCTTCAACCCCCTCTCCCCACTCCAGTTTTTTGTTTTTTGGCCTTGCCACCAGGCTTGTGAGATTTAGTTCCCCAACTGGGGATTAAACCCAGGCCACAGCAGTGAAAGCCCCAAATCCTAACCACTAGTCTACCAGGGAAATATTTTTCTTTCTTTCCTTTCCTGATTCCCCCTTTTGACACAAGCGATCCCTCATCACAATCACTCTCTGTGATCAGGGTCTTTTTTCTTGATAACTATCATTCCAAAATATTTGATGACTAACTCTCCAAAACAGAGAGACTACAGAACACAACGAACCTTGAAACAACCAGCCAACCCTATCACTGAAGTCCTCCACACCTTATCTCACTACAAGAGCCAAGCAGAGGTTCCTTTCATCATTGCAGGAAGGGAGCCCATGACGCTGATAAAACTCAGCCACTTCACAGGCAGCCAGCACATGAACAGTGTAGAACCTCACGGCTTTGCCCTCTCAAGGGAAAAATCTATTCCTACCTCTCAAAGCTTGTGCATGGTCAGAGAATTCTGGTGTGCATGGCTCTCTGCTTAATGAAGGTAAGATCAGGAGGGACCAGGTACCAGTGATAAAGGTCCCTGGGATTCTCCTTAGGCCTCAGTAAACACAAGGATCTGAGGAGCCTCGCTTTCTCTCTGATTCCAATCCCCTGGGAGCAGACCTTCTTCAGGGACACAATGTCCACAGTTCATCCTGTTTAATCTCATACTGGAAGCTGAGACCCCATTTCCTAAACACCAACATGAAACACAATGCAACCTCTACATACTCAGAAAAGCCCCACACCACTCTCAATAGGGGAACAAGCTGTGAACAGAAGTTTGTTTTCAAATCACAGAAAGTATTCTGAATGTTTCACTGGGAAAAAGCACTTTATAATAAGAAAAATGGCAGGCAGCAGGCAAAATTCAAACTCTTCACAGATCTTTAATGAAACAATATCACTGTAATTGGTAAAATGTTTTACATTTGTTCACCTCTCTTCCAAATGCTTATTTTCAAAAGATACAGCATGGATGAACTTCCCTGGTGGTCCAGTGGTTAAGAATCCTCCTGCCAATGCAGGGGACACGGGTTCAACCCCTGCTCTGGGAAGATCCCACATGCCAAGGGCAACAAAGCTCAAATGCCACAACTACTGAGCCTACGATCTGCAACAAGAGAAGCCATGGCAACAAGAGAAGCCATGGCAACAAGAAGCCTGTGCATCCCAACTAGAGTATCCCCCACTCACTGCAACTAGAGAAAGCCCATGGGCAGCAATGAAGACCCAGTGCAGTCAAAAAATAAAATAAAAAGATAAAGCACGTACACAGCAGAAAGAGTATGGGATGTGTGACCAGAAAGATCTGGATGCAAAATCAGGCTCTATAATGCATAAGCTGTGTCCCATGCAGGCTCCTCTGTAAAACAAGAATGTGTCCTGTCCCAGGGGCTGGTGCAGAATCCGTATCTGAGAGCTAATTTTACAGGTGAGTCTCACAACAGCCCAACAGGTGAACCAGATCCTACTATCCCAGTTTACAGGTGAAGAACCAGAACATCAGAGCCCCATCCAAAGTCACACGGCTCAGAGCAGACTTCGGTCTCTTCGTGCCCAGCCCGGACTACCGACGACAGCTCCCTGACTGAATGAGAGAAACCTGGAGCCAGATCAGCACACGTACACCTTACCTACACAGGAAAAGAGATCTCATTTTTTAATTAAGTGAAATACATCTTGAAATGTATTTATAGAAAGAGGCAAATTTCAGGGAGAAATTGCTGGTGAGAAAGCTGGCTCCAATCAAAATTAAGATGACCTCATCCCCCCCATTAGTCATTAATCACGGGGCAAACAAGTGCTTTAAAAGCCTCCAAGAAAAGGGGATGTGGTGGTGGAATGAAACTAGAGGAAAAGCAACACAGATCTAAGAGCACCTATGACTAACAGTGCAACTGAAGTTTAGTAGGCGTGACTCTTGGGCACCCGTCTCACTGTACAACTTCACAACGAGCCTCTCTGACCACGTATAAAACTGGGATTAAATCTCACAGGGCAAGTAACAAGAAAGACCAGCAAATGAAACTAAGACCAAGACTCAGCTGCAAAGTAAGGAAGTACAGAAGCTGAATTCATTTAGTAAATTTTCATATAAATGAAAGCAATAATTTTAAGGAGATCTGAATGGCACTAGTTGGTAAAAGAAAAGTCTGAAGAACAAGTACGGCAGAGGCCGAAGGACATGGGCTCTTGATTTCAAACATGGTTCAAGCCTCAAATCTATTCTTGGTTGTTTAACCCTATACTTATTATTCAATTTCTCTAAGCCCATTTTCTCATCCATAAAATAAGGTTAATAAACATGCCCACCTCACAGTTCAGTTCAGTTCAATTGCTCAGTTGTGTCAGACTCTGTGACCCCATGGACTTCAGCACACCAGGCCTCCCTGTCCATCACCACCTCCCGGAGTTTACTCAAACTCATGTCCATGAGTCGATGATGCCATCCAACCATCTCATCTGTCACCCCCTTCTCCTTCCGCCTTCAACCTTTCCCAGCATCAGGGTCTTTTCAGATGAGTCAGTCCTCCGCATCAGGTGGCCAAAGTATTGCAGTTTCTGCTTAAACATCAGTCCTTCCAATGAATATTCAGGACTGATTTCCTTTAGGATGGACTGGCTGGATCTCCTTGCAGTCCAAGGGACTCTCAAGTGTCTTCTCCAACTCCACAGTTGAAGAGCATCTATTCTTCAGCGCTCAGCTTTCTTTATAGTCCAACTCTCACATCCATACATGACTGCTGGAAAAACCATAGCCTTGACTAGATGGACCTTTGCTGGCAAAGTAATGCCTCTGCTTTTTAATATGCTGTCTAGGTTGGTCATAACTTTCCTTCCAAGGAGTAAGCGTCTTTTAATTTCATGGCTGCAGTCACCATCTGAAGTGATTCTGGAGCCCCAAAAAATAAAGTCTGTCACTGTTTACCCATCTATTTGCCATGAAGTGATGGGACCGGATGCCATGATCTTAGTTTTCTGAATGTTGAGCTTTAAGCCAACTTCTTCACTCTCCTCTTTCACTTTCATCAAGAGGCTACCTCACAGAGGTACAGTGATAAAAAGATATTTGAAAGCACTTACATAACCCTGGCACACAAGTGTTCTATTAAATAACTGTTGTTATGATTACTAGGAGAAGCTGAAGATTCTAATTCTCCACCCCAAGATCAAGATAAGAATTCAAGTAGCAGCAAGATATACAGCTCCTCCTTCTTCATCATATTCTTGACCCCACCTCCTATCTAGGGTAAATCCAATTTTGATAACCCTAACAGATAATGGATGTTCTTGTTTTAAATCAGCATTTCTCTGTTAGATTCTTAATAAACAGTAGTTCAATAAAGTTGTGGCTGAAATGGCAAACCAGCCTGACTTTGGTCTTGAGTTATGTGGGAGTAAGAAACGCCACTGATAAACTAATACAGAACTAGAACAATTACAATTATTGTCCTCAAATAAGTCACTTCAAATCTGGATGCAAACACTGCAGATGGAACAGCTGAGGCTAAGTAAGCCGCAGGCCTCGGAATGGAGCTGCTACAGCGGGAGACAGTGGACATACAGGCCAGAAGAGAGCAGGCTCCTTCCAAGCAGTCCCACTCACAAGTGGAACCAAGGCAGGGCTGAAACAAACAGAGCAGCCCTAAAACAGAACCTGAACCTATGGCTTTTGCAATCAGACATGGACCGACCTGTGCATCCCTGAAGGACCCACAGGCTTTCCTGGGGAAAGGTGTCTACTGAACTTCTCTTACCTGAGCACAACTGTTCAATCTTTGTCAGATTCAACTGCAGAGACTCATTGATCCAGGCTAGCATGTCATGTCGACTGAGGTTATCGCTGGTGACCGACGTTGAGTACACGTTCACTGCCATCTTCTACAGCATGTGAGAAAAGAGAAGGGATCACATTATTGGGCAGTAAGAAAGCGCAAGCATTTCCTGGAGTCACCAGAGCAGAAGTGTAACGACACTCAATTTGGAAGCCTCACCCCCATTTTTCTCCAAGACGCCAAATCAAAGACCTAGGATTCCAGTCACAAGCCTAGATTTCCAGGAGTAAACAAGACCTGAAATGAATGGCTCAACACCAGCCAGCCTAAAATTCAGGCCCTATTTTAATGTGATTGGTATAAAAATGTGCTCCGCTTAGAAAACATCAATTCATTTATCCATTAATGTATCAAAATGTTTACACCAGTTTTCTTCAGATGGGGGGCTTTTTATTAACTTCTCTTTATAGTTTCCACTAGGAGGTTCTCCAAATTTTCTTAAAGACTATGTCCACTTTTACAATCAAAAAAGTAACCTTTGCTATAACCTAAGTACTACAGAGGTGGTGGCAAATACCTCACAGAGCAGAGTCCTTAGTAAAATTCTCTGCTGAACCTACTGAGGACAGGAGGCCATCTGCAGGCCTACTAAGCACCAGGAACTTAGCAAACACTTGGCTAAGTGAGACGCTTAAGCAGAGTGGCTACAGCCCCGTGAACAGGAGGGTGAGGAGGAACAGAAGTGGGAAAAGTGAAGAAGCCAGATCCTGTTAGGACTCTGCAGGCATGATGAGGAGTTCAGATGTTATCCCTTAACTGTTCAAGAATGCCTTGCTGGGATTTAAATGGGGGAGAATCACATTTAAGTTTGAAAAAGGTCACCAACTGCTGGTGAACAGATAATGGGAAGAGAAGACTCAAACAATAAGGGCAGGTGGATCCAGACCTAAATGAAATTCCTGGGCAATTACCATGAGGACTCATGACTACAAAACAGCAGTTCCCAACCTTTTTGACACCAGGGATTGGTTTTGTGGAAGACAGTTTTTCCATGGACAGACTGGGGAAAGGGGGGAGGGGGTAGGCAGGATGGTTTTCGAATGATTCAAAGTGCATTACATTATTGTGCACTTTATTTCTAGTATTATTATATCAGCTCCACCTCAGATCATCAGGCATTAAATCCTGGAGGTTGGGGACTCCTGCTATAAAATACTAAATTTCACAATGACCAACACTTGTAATTTTCCTCATTTCATGTGACATCAATATGATCAATGGGGGAAGAAAAACTCAGGACAATTTGGAACCACCATGGGACTCTGAGCGCTCCTCCACCAAGGGACTAGCTAGTCTTCCCTTGCGTCTCCAGCACACCTCACAAGTCAAACAGCTACAGAATGTGAGGGCCGGAAATGATGGAGATCTACCACACAACCTCCTCTTTAGGAACAGGCCTGGAGAGATAACTGACTTATCAGGCTTGTGCCCTCACACCCCATACTCCCCCTTCCCCCAAGGACTTGGCACAGCACATTACACACAGTGGGCTCAGTAAAGGCTACTTGTTTTCAGGCTCACAGGCCAGTGTCAAAGAGAGAAAAATGTGTCTCAGAAAGCAAATTATCAACTCTCTTACCTAAACTCAGATGATAAAACCATGATATACAAGAAGTCAATACAATTTAGTTCCTGACTCCACTGGGAAATTAATCCCTATGTTCCCACAGCACTTCATTCAAACCTCTGCAACTGTCATTATCTCTCCATTTCTGACTCGTTCCCAGATGGGATCTGAACCAGTAGGAAATTCGCACTATGCAAAGAGCTGAGTATTTGAAGCCTGGGTTTGAACATGAGGCTCTCACTCAGTTGTACGAACCTGGGCCAAGTTACTTAGCTTCAATACACCTCACTTATTTTGTGAGTGAATGCCCCCCATCTGAGGTGAGGTTTAAATGAGGTAAGGCACAAAAACTGGTTTGGTATTAAACAAACAAGTCCAGGAGAGGGGCGTGTCTCATTTATCCTATCTCCAGTGCCAAAAACAGCACCTGAGACCTGTCACTACCATCTCTCACCTCCATCCACTGCAACATACGTCAAATTAGTCTCTGTCTCAAACTGTTTTTATACAGCAGCCAAGGAGAATTTTCTGAATCAAAAATCAGACCAAGTGACTCCTGTGTTTAAAATCCCTAAAGGAAGAAAAGAAGTGCAGACTGTGTGGTACCAAAGAGAGACACATGCAAATAAAAACCACCACAGTCCCAGGGTGAGCACCTGTAATCCATTTTGGTGACATTCATACATACATCCATCAGATACTGTATGTATCATGCTGCCATAAAATGTAAGCAGCTGGTAAAGCCACGTGTGTCTCTTGACCACACCTCAGCTCAGTAAACGTTAATGGCCTTTCCTCATCATAAATTTAAAACTCTTTCATTAGCAGCACATTAATACCTGGCCCCATGTGCTCCGCAAACTCAGCAGCCACTAAATACATGGGGCTAGGCACCCTGTGGATGTGCAATAAACATCCACTGACTCAACTATTTAATTTGCTCTTCCAGGCAGTCAAAAGAGACCAGCTCTCAGAGCCTCAGCTACAGCTAGCTCTCTCTCTCTTCCTCCATAGGATTCCTCTGCTTGACCTCAATGGAAGAAAGGCCCCATGATCACCACACAAACCTCACCCCTCCTTGATCCACCTTTAAACTTCCTTGAAAAAGCATTCCCTTACGTCTCCATATATACCCTCTCCTAAAGGCTCCCAAACCCACCCCAATTCAAAGCTGGCTGATAAGCACTTATTACTTTCAAGGTACCATACTCAGCACTATGGAATGGGGGGGTGTGACCCCTCCCCCCCAAAAAAGCAATGTGGCCCTAGGTAAATACCTCACCTTTCCAGATCACAAATAGCTCATTTGCTCATCCCGAGGAGGCAGTGAGGATTAACTAAGACTCTAAGTGAAAAACAAAGCATGTCCTAAGCTTCCCTATGTGCCAGAAACCGCTACACATTTCTTAGCCACAGAAACTGTATACATATATACACCATCATAAAGGGCACATTGGAAACACATTGTCTAGATCTGTCTAGGGAAGCAGTGTAATACAGAGATTAAGGGCCTGGACTCAGAGTCACAGACTTGGGTTCAGCCACTTGCTGGACACCATAAAGCAAATAACCTCTCAGAGTCTCGGTCCCCTAATTTGTAAAATGAAGATAAAATCTGTTAAGAGACAAGCACAATATTAAATGACATTAAACCACAGAACACCTGGCACACAGCAAGTGCCCAATTACCAAAGAGCTGCTATTATCACTTTTCTTAGAGATACCCCAACCGAGAGGTGTATGGCAGGCCTGGTGCATCTTCCTTCAATGGACTTCAGGAGTTTCATTCCCAAAATGGAGCAGAGGCCCAGCTCTGCTCTGCAGCACCCCAGATCAGTTGTGAAACAGGGACTGAAAAAGCACTGTTCATATCACCCTATTACACAGTCTCGCCAGTGATCATATGAAATTCTTTCCCATGTATTAATTTTCTCATTTCCATGTATTTTTTAATTTTCGGTCTCCCCACCACAATGTAGACTACTAGAAAGCAGGCCTTTGCCCTCCTACTCCTGGGGGGTATAGCCAGTGCTTAACACAGTGCCTAGAGCTCAATGGACGCTCAACAAATACTGATGAAGAAAGGAAGAAGTCCAGGGAGCTGGCTTGCTTTTCGCCATACTCGGGGACAAGCCCTTGTTACGTGTAGTATTATCTTTCTCCCGCGTTTTACAGATGAAGAAACAGAGGCCCAGAGAGGTTAAAGCACCTGCCCAAGGTCGCACAGCAGGGAATTCAATACTCCAAAACCTGGACTCTTAAATCATCAGGCGGCCCCGTCTCCTACAGTGGGGGGGTCCTCAGAACTTCCAGCAGGCCCACTCCAACCCCACACACGCCCCCTACCCGGCCCAACCACCCAGAAACCTCCTGCCTCCTGTCCTGGTTCCACGCCTAGGCCGCGGCCCATAAGCCCCCACGCCGCCGAGGGGCAGCCCCCACTTCCGGCCCGACGCCCCGCCCCCCGCGGAGCGAAGAGCGCGCGCCCCCCAGCCCGCGCTCGCCGGGTCACGGCCCCGCCCTTCCCCCAACCGGCCCGAACCGCACCGCCGCGGGGAGCGGCCACAGCACTGCCCCCGAGGCCCGCTGGCGCTCGGCTCGGCTCGAGGCCCGCCCAGCCGCCCCCCAGCCACCGTCCCGTGCCCGCTAGCCGGCTCACCGGCTCTCGGTTGGACCGCGTCCGCTGCCCGTACCCGGCTCCGGTTCCGTCTTCCTCTCGTTCAAACCGCCTGACCCCGCCCGCCCGCCCGCGCGATGACCTCACACGCACCCCCCCCCTTACGCGCCGACGTAAAGGCTCGTCATCGCCCGCCGGCTCCTTTTATAGAGAGGGACGAAGCCGCGCGCTGAGGGCGGAGCCCGAAGCTTGATCGACGGCTGGAGTGCCATAGGGGCGGGGCGCCGGCTGCCGGGGCCAAGCAACTGCGCGAGGTCTGCCGCAACCAATGAGATCCCACCTCGGGCAGATGTGACCCCGCCTAGAAGGCGGGATCCAGTTACAAATTCTCCACCCCAGTAGCCAAAAAATTGGTTTTACAATGAATTTCTACAAAAAATGGATTATTAGATTAAAAAAATCGATAGTCGCTTTGAGGAAGGACTTAAAAGTCACATTAGAGACATATTCTGTGGCTTTTCTTTCTAGAAATGACCCTGTAATCTCATCATCCGTTTTTTTTCTTAGTATAGTCATCCCGTTTAATTGTTTATGGCTTTATTGTCTGCATTTCCGTAAGTTCCACGGAAGAAGAATCTTCTCAATCCTGTTCCCACGGTGTCCAAGAGCCTGATATTTGGAGTCTTAGAGACTTGTTCAAAGAATGAGTTACACCCACTTCACAGAAGGGAAAACTGAGGGTCAGAGAGATCCGTTGCCCTGCATCACAAAGATTGATCCAGGTTTTCAGCTGGTTTTCTTATCAAAGTATCATTGATTCATGTGTTCAGCAAATATTTCTTTTCCCTGATTAATCAAACCCTAGAGATTTGGCGGTAACTAAGAAACAGACATAGCCTCTGAGCTCTTAAAGTTTCCAATCTGTCAGGGAAGGCAAAAGCACATCACTAATTACACATCACTATTTAAGTACAAGGGCTTCCCTGCTGGCTCAGCGGTAAAGAACCAGCCTGCAATGCAGGAGACATAAGAGACACTGGTTGGATCCCTAGGTTGGGAAGATCCCCTGGAGGAGGAAATGGCAATCTACCCCTGTATTCTTGCCTGGAAAATGCCATGGACAGAGGAGCCTGGCGGGCTACGGTCCAGAGGGTCACAAAGAGTCAGACACCACTGAGCACAATGAGCATGTTTAATTACAAACCAGACTTAGTTAGACAGGAACGGGCTGTGGCAGGAAAGATAGCACCTGCGTTGCAAGGAGTAGGGGCCTAGAGGCCTCTTCTGGGCTGGATCTCACCCAAGTAGTTGCTGAAGCAGGGGGAGATGTTCAGGGAAGACTGGGTTAGGAAGCTGGGGCAGGAGCTATTTATCAACTGGTCTGGAGGCATTTCAATATTTTAACCACCAGTACTGCTGGATTGTCTTGCTGGTAAGTAGTGCTCCAAGAGTACACAGCAGGAAAAAACCTGACCTCACCTAAACAGTGTGGGAAGGCTTCCTAGAGATGATACTTGCCCTAAAATATAAGATGTTAACTTAGCGAGAGTTAGGGTAGAAAGGCAAACAAAAAGGATGCAGCAAAGAACCCTGTAACAAATGATTATAGTAATAGTAGTAATAGTAGCACTATATGGATAATTGAATAAAGATAAGTCATAAGTGATTTGGGCATTTGTGTTAATTACCCCCAACTTATACACAAGGATGTTAAGTTTCCAGTGCTTTCAGTAAATTTTGTAAGTAGCAAAGACACCAGGTTTGGATTCAAATCCTGACTCTGCTAGGGGTTAGAATCAAACGAGATGTATGTAGTGTTCTTAGACCACTCCTCGCACATAGTATATGCTCAATCAATGTTAACGATTTCAAAGTCCCTTTCAGTTGATGTCAATATTCAATTTCTGTCAACTGATATGCTGTCAGCAGTACCTGAAAGCCATTTGGGGTGGAGGAGGAATGGGTGTGGGAGATGAAAGTCAAGTCAAGAAGGGCCTCAGGTGTTGGACTAGCATTCGAACCTGGTTCTGGAGACACAGGACATCCCAGGTCTCTGAACTAGAGCCTCAGAAATAAAACTCATCTGCCCTCCCAGGCAGCAGCAACCCAAAGAGATGAGAAAGGGCCACGTGACCTACTTAGGCTCCACCCTCCTACCTGAGAAGGGGGTTAAGCCAAGGTTGTCTGAGTCACATTAAGCTCTAACTGTGAAAGACCAGAGGGTAAAAAGAAAAAAGAATTTCCATCCAGTAGGACAAAGTTGGGAGATTTTACTATGTGCTTTTAAGTGACTTTTAATATATGCGGTAATCTCTAAACTGTAAGTCTCCTCCCTGAAAACAAAATAAAAAACTATGACTTCAAACCTGAGTTTCCCAAATGTATGACAAGCTTATTGAACTAAAAACTGGTGTTAGGAGGGCTCATCTGCCTTGAGCACCTCACAAGCTCATGGAAGAGATGGGTACAAAAATAAGTAACACAGAGTACTTTGTGCTGAGATATTCTTCTATCAGTCCACAGGGAAGGACAGCTCAGATTAGAGGATGTCTCTTAGTGCTGCCTAGAATGGGGGCAAGGAAGTCTTCCTGGAAGAGGTGAGAACTGAAGGACCAGGCAGAGGGGAGAAGGCTGTTCTGGGGAGAGAACAACATGCGCAAAGACTCAGTGAGCAGCCACCAAATCCAGTTAATAAACAGAAAGAAGAAAGGAAAGAAAGCAGAAAGGAGAGAAGGAAGGTAAGTTGGAAAAAAGTAAGAGAAGGAAGCAAGAAAGGTCAATTATATCATAGGCTGCAAAGGGCAGCAGGTAATTTCAGAATCCAGACACACACACATACACACATATACAGATGCAGGGGAGTCCAATGGAATCACAAAACAGATTTCAACTCACAACTTCTTTGCACTGGCTGTGTGACCTTGGGTACTCACTTCTGAGTCTCAGTTCTTTTACCTGGGACCATGGTAACTACTGCCTCACTTCAGGGTTGCTGGGAGGACTCTAGACAGTAAACAATAAAGCAGCTGCTGTGTACTTAGCACTCACTACCCACAAGCACTCTGCATGTGCTTCACACACACTGAATCACTTGACCCACACATCAGCCTTATGAAGTTATTATCCTTGTCTTAACAGCTGCATAAACGGAGGCTCAGAGGGGCTACGGAGCACATTCAAGGTCACAAGCTAGGAGGAGGTAAAGCGAGGAGAGGCATCCAGTCTGGCTGCAGGAAGGAAGGAGCAACCAAGCACAAGCCTGGAACAGAAAATCACTCAAGAGCCGGTTGACTGGAAAACCAGAGGGACTGAAGTAGCGTGGGGGACCCCCTCTGTCCAGTGCCGATCTCCCACCAAATAACCATGGAACTGTTCAGAGGTCAGTCAAGCACCCCCAGGGAAGATCCCTTTCACAGATCTCTGGGGTACCAGACTCCAAAGCCACCCATACTCACTCTCCCTAACAAGGAGCAAGGGGACCCCAACATGTTGAGGGTGGGCTGATGGACACAATTTCAGCACCAAATACTGCTGGTGCTCAGCTCTTTTGCAACACCTAGATGAAAATTACCTGTCCTTCTTTTTTTAAGATTTTATTAATACATTAATATTGGATGTTACCATCACTATAAGGGTTTTGTTATCACAATGCCATTCAGTACATGTGAGGGCTTACTGTGTGCCAGGCACCAGGCAAAACAACTTACCCAGGTTACAGCCTTGAACATTCACAGCAGCCCTAGGAAGCATGTAGGATTTATGATCCTCACCTTTTAGAGATGGAAAGTTCCAAGGATCACCTGCCCAAAGCGATACAACATGTGAGCCCCCAGATACAGCCCCAGGCAACCAGAAGATATTTTCAGAAAAGGTCTACTTGTAGTACCAACCCCAGCTGCTTCCCCAAGATCAGAATGTCCATCACATTCTCCACTTGGCCCCAGTCCTAGGAGCACTGAGATCCAAACCTGGCCTGCATCTTGAGAAAACAGAGAACTGCCCCCCAACAGACCCTCCAAGGTCTCCCTTAAGGCTGCTCACAAGCAGGCCACAACACCCCTCACCTGGAGGGCTAATCCATCTCCTCTCTTGGGGTTTCGAGGCCGAGGCTGTTTATTTCGCTTCATCCTGTCCTGGCACTTGGTGCAGCACTGAATACAAGATGGCTTAATAAGGCAACCAAGGCCCCTGGGGCCTCAACACCTGAGCAGAGCACCAGCAGGATTGGCTTGCTAATTGCCAATGTCTCACCATGGTGACTTGCACCCGGGCTGTTCTAGCCTAAGCTAAGTCACTTCAGTTGTGTCTGACTCTGTGCAACTGCAACCCCATAGACGGCAGCCCACCAGGATCCCCCGTCCCTGGGATTCTTCAGGCAAGAACATGGGAGTGGGTTGCCATTTCCTTTTCCATGTTCTAGCCTAGTGGTGCCTAAAAAGTTTCTCATGCTCCACTCCAACTCTGGGCCAGATTATTTCTGAACTTGCTTTTGAGTTATTAAGGCTCATCACTCCAATAGTGGGCTTCCCAGGTGGCTCAGTAGTAAAGGAGCTGCCTGCCAATGCAGGAGACGCAGGTTCACTCCCTGGGTTGGGAAGATCCCCTGGAAAAGGAAATGGAAGCCCACTGCTGTATTCTTGTCTGGAAAATCACATGGACAGAGAAGCCAGGTGGGCGACAATAAGAGGACTGCAAAAGAGTCGGACACAACTTCAGCGACTGAACAGCAAACTTAATCATGGAGATGGCAGTGATTACAGCCAAGCTTATGTGAAGATACTGAGGCTCAGAGTCATGCCAACTGAGATATTCAACTGATGCACAAGGGAATCCCTTTTTCCTCTAAAGGAACCAGATGACCAATATTAACCTCTGGAAAGCTACTGGAATCTTCATCAGGACCGTTTCACTGACCAAAGGCTAGAGGTAGTGACACAGAATTATGACATGATGGACTCTGGGCTTTGGGTGGGAAACCTGGCTGGGTGGACCCAGGTGAATTACTGAAGGGAGTTGCAATGTTAAGCTTACAATGGCAAGAAACACAGTCCACCCAAAGAGCTGGGGGCCACAGGCAGCTATGTTAAAAATTGATCCTGGGTCATTCCCCAGGAGTCTCCCCTCACTGGAACCAACTCACCTCACTGACCATGGCTCAGTTATGACATGACAACTTAGGAGCAGTGGAACAAACTTTGGGAGAAGCCTACAAAGGGATAAGGAACTGGACGGTCAGCCCTGGGATTTGACTCATCTCAACCAGCTACCCAATAGCTGTGAGAATTAACCTGGACATGACTGTTCCAGACATCAAGGCTTTCAATGAACTTGTTATTTATTTGCGGAAACAAGGTTTAGATATCCATTCACTATCCCAGATTGGTCCTTGGATGGGCATAGAGGAATTCTCAGGCTCCACTTCAGAGTTAATGCATCAGAAACTCTGGGGGTAGGTCTTGTTCTCCACTGAACAAGCCTTACAGGGGATGCCTGTTACAGGGGATGTTGGAGTTTGGGGACCATTGTACTAGACTTGGGGGGCACCTGTGGTACTTAAAAGGTGGCTCAGAATCCACCTTCAATGCAGGAGACACTCCCCTGGGTTGGGAAGATCCCCTGGAGAAGGAAATGGCAACCACTCCAGTATTTTTGCCTGGAGAATCCCATGACAGAGAAGCTGGGTGGGCTATAGTCGGACACGAATGAAGCAACTTAGCATGCATGCACAACTCAGCTTGCATGCACATGAAACTTCTGCACTGGACTTGAAGGTGGGTAATTTCAACCATCCACCTTTCCACTTTTCCTCACATGCCCCACCCATTTGATCTGCAAAAGAACAAAAGGGACACCAGATTGTTAGAGAAATACTGATTTTAATTCAACATAAGGTAAACTCTAGGCATCTGTCATCTTTCAGCCTAAAAATTAGCAAAACTGTTGAAACAAGGCACAATTTTTCCCCATACTTGTTACGTGGCTCCAGTTACAAAAAAAAATTATGAAAATGTTTAAACAAAAATAGAAGTCTGAGATTTTTTTTAAAAAGTGAATAAAAAAACCTCCCACAAAACCTGTCAACATTGTTCCTTATTCTACAAAATAGCACCAGTAAGAGTAAAAGGTGTTAAAAACCATTACGACAGCATTTCTGAAATGCAGCTTGTCTGACCTCCCACTCCCCCTAAAAAAAAAAAAGATTTATCGATTCACCTTGGAATAAAAAAGGACTTTAAAATCTCAGGAGGGAGGGAGGGTTGAGCTTTTATTGCAGTTTTCCCCCTGCAGTCTCTTAGAGAAGGGGAAAGTGCGAGGACTGTGCTTCTGCCCCTGGCTGAGAAGTTGGGGTGTCACACTGGGGACCTGTGCCTGCAGAGTAGCCTGGAGGGGTACGGGGTGGGGTGGGGGGAGGGTCTTATGTAAGCTTCCTCCTCCTCTCACATGGGTATAAAGGGGGAAGACAGTGAGAAGCCATACCTGTCTATACCAACATATGGCAGCTTATAAACCCAGCCCACCCCTTCCTGAGTTTCCAGAGGGTTCTATTGCAGTCACTGGGAGGGACTTAGCTAAGGGTAGCCCTGCCCTCGGATTTATGGGAAAAACATAGCCCTGAATGTGATGATGATGTCATCCCTGCTGAAATCATCATCCTTGTGGAAAATACTCTAAATGGGCTAGAGATCCCAGCCCTTTACACTGAGGTGGGGGCGGGGGAAGAGGGGTGGACAACGAGCCAGGGAAAACTCAAGACAGACATGGACATCATGTCCTCTTATGCTAGCCCTAGAAAAAAAAACATACTGGGCCCTTCAAAGGTCCCTTAGCTACCTGTCTACCGCTGCACACTCCTGCAAACAAGGAGCTACAGACATTTTAAAAAATTAAAGTCTTGCAGTAACTGTCTTGGGTGATTTTTCAGCGTCAACCTGAGTCTTGGAGAGCTGTCGGCACTGTGATTTTGGTATCTTAGCCATCGTTTCTCTGAGCGGTAAACCCAGAAAGGAGGGGAAAAAAAAAAAAAAGCCATCTTACTACCTATTTCAAGTTTTAAAGTTTTAGGAGAAGATAAAACGAGCACCATGTCTGGCCACTCCGAGTGGCCAGGTCTGTATTGTGCAGAAGGAGGTGGCACCTCGGGGTCCCCCCGGCCAGGAAGGGGACAGGCAGCTCTGCTCCCGACGAGGTGCTCGGCGCGCCCCCGCAAGCGCAGCTGGGCTGGCCAGGGCAGAGCCAGGCTGCACCCCCGGGCTGTGGCTCTGCCTGGTGCCCCGGCGCCCGGGGGCTATTCACAGGCAAAGTAGTCCTTCAAGGGCGCGAAGAGGTGTCGGATGACGGGCACGCTCCAGGACCTCCCCAGCAGCTTCTGCCGGGCCACGCGGCCCATGTTGGACACGTCCGTGTAGTGCACAGGGAAGCCGAAGATCCTGGGGGCGGGGCACCAAAGTGAAACAAGGGAGTCAGATGCGCCCCCACCAGCTTGGCGCCTCTGGGAGACTCCTGGCTGTGGCAGCCCATGCAGCTCTCTGCTCTTCCTGCCCTTTACCCGTCCCTTCCGCCAGGCCTTCCCGTGACCCCCAAGGTCAAGTCCACCGGGTCTTCGGCTCCCAGATGCCCGTCATGAGGGCATGGTCCCCCTTTTGAGGGTGCCCGTCTTGTGCACGCCCCCACACCTGCACTGCACTGTTGCCACATAGCTGATGCTCGCTGGACTTTTCTTGCATGAATGACTGAATGCCAAGATGGCCAGCCAGCCAGCAGACAAGTACCTATCTTCACATCACAAAAGGTGAGAAAGTTGAGCCATTGCCTTACTAAGGAACAGGGACACTCACAAAACAGATCTTATTTCCAATCATCAGATGCTCAGGTAATTGACCATGAGTAAACTGAAGCATTCTGCATTTTCTTTCCCTCTTCAAAGCAAATTGCTGGATCAAGGCCCAAGCTGGACTTAAATGGCAGGTGGCAACGAAATATACCAACAGCCTCCTGAGTGGAATTCTACCACAGGAGAAGAGGTACAGATTTGGAAGGAGGCTACTGATACACTGGACCTCACTCTTTCCCAGGTTTACAGTCCTATACTACAAATTAAACCAAGAAATACATCCAGTTATAGAACTAAACTATCTGGAGTGAAAATACTCTATCAAAATAGCCCTAAAATACTGCCAAAAATGTAGAGTGTTCACAACCCTTACTACAGTCTCATCACAATAACAAAATAAAATGAGGAAAAAAAAAAGTTAAATGCAGAACAGGAGAAATTAAATCAAAGAGTTGGTTCTTCAAAATGGATAAAGTTCCGACTTAGCCAAATAAACGGATAAGGGAACAAGCAACTCAGGAGGAATCCTGAGAAAGAAGCAACGGCTTGCTGGTAGAATTTCCTTTAGCTGGATCCTCGTACATCCTAGCGTCCCAGCATGTTAGGGCAGGCAAATGCCAGGGAAACACAGCCAGATGAGACAGATGTGCTGTCTCATGGCCTCAGGTTTCAGATTCCTCACCACCATAGCCCTTTGCCATTTATAAGCACCAACTGGAAAGGTTACTCCCAGCTCTGCTAATGTAGAAGGTCAGCAAGACTACGTGGAACACGCTGCTGGCTTTAACCATGGTCTCTGTCTGCTTGATTTCCCTTTCCACGAACATCCTTGCTCACCTTTCTAGCTCAGTGCACCACAAAACATCTTCTTTGCCATTCATGACAACAGGGAAAAGTTGGTTTTTCCCCTGTCTGATCGAGTTCGACTTGGTGGTTATTGTCTGTACTTTCTTTAACTGGAGAACAAAATGACATCATGGAGTGAGCACAGAATGAACGGTTCTGGGTCAAGGCTCAGAAGCACCTAGGGAAGGTGGAGGAGGGAGGGCAGGTGGGGGAGAGAGGGTGGCAGGGCCAGGCTCGGATAGGGAATGAGAAAAGGAGAGATGGAAGGACATACTCTGTGCTTCCCACAAAAGCCAAGAAGTTAATGAGCAGGAAGGACCAGCCTCAGAGAGAACAAAGAGATAAACAAAAAGTGACCATAAATGAGATCAAATGGGCGTCAAGGAAACAGTTACTGATCAAGCAAGATTAAGCAAAAGGAAAAGTTCCCCCAGATTATAGAGGATGGTCAAGCAGGGTTTGAATGAATGGAACTTAGCTCAATGGAAGCTTTGAAAATTAAGTTTCTGGAGATATTAATAGAATTATTTATGACTTAATAGCAGTTTTTGTTTTTGTTTTTTTTTTTGCAAAAGTGTACTCATTTCTCACTTGGGAGTCTCCATGGAGTGTGCATTCACAATAGGAAAGTCTAGTTACCTTCTCTCATTTTTGTTTATCAAGGAAGAACCTCTCCTACTCTGTATTTGAAGATGGGATAGAACAACTGTGTGGGGAAGGAAGCCCAGCACCAGGGAGTCGTGTGGGGGGAGGACACCAAGGTCAAGTCCCATTGAAAGGTCACCAAGTGGTGGGCCAGGCACAGAGCACTGCTTACCTTTGCTGTCCTATTGAACTCCAGGCAGTCCTGCAGCTCGAGTTTATCATTCTTGGATGCTATCACAGGCCTGGGAACATCCAAAACCCATTACTTTCTACCGCCTGGAAAAAAGGGCCTTGGCTCGGTGCCTCCCAGGGTGGGAGTGAGAGCCCAAGCTGCAAAATGTGCTCTGGCCGTAAACTTGCTACAGATATATCATAAAAATGGCCCAGGCGTGAGCACAAGCCTGGGTGTCAACTCGGGGACAGGCTAGCTGCTTGGGGCAGGGAGCCCTAGGTGCAGCAGTGAATGTTCCCCCTACCCAGTGGTAACAGTAGTCAAAGCTCCTTCACTGAGGAGAGCAGGATGGTGAAGCATATAGTTAGAGGGGTCAGGAGACACCTCAGTCTCAGCCCCACTGCTCACTGGCTGAATGAGTGATGCTAAGCAAATTCTGCCATCTCTGAGCCTCAGGAGCCTGGATTAAGTCTTTGTGGGTCTACTCACTACAAGCAGCACATCAAACCCATGATTTGGCAGCTTATGGCTGGAACACAGCCTCAGGAGGCTTTAACAGAGAGAGGCAAACAGATGCTCGACAAGGAGAATGGATAGAACTTTAGATACTGAAGGGGTTAAGCAGGTCCAAAGCAGAAAACTAGGAAGAGGTCAATGCACAGGGTTGATGACCACCACAGCATCCCTGGGTAAGGAACTCAAGAGGCCAAAAACAAATCAGATGTCAGATTGGACATGGTGTCCACGAGAGGAGCCACTGCACACAAAATACCACACTGACCTCACCCTCTCTCCATTCCCAACTCTTCCATGGACTAAGGGAGCTAAGGGTTCACAGCCCTGTCCTACATTCTGTTGATTCTAGGACTGAAAACCTAGGTGTTTAGTCTAAGGGCTAGATTTGGTCTGTGACCTACAGTTGATGTTGTCACTGATCCTATAGATCCCAACTGTAGCAGCTCACTGTTCATCCCAACTCAAACTTCTGCAAATCCCAGTATCTAGAATCTGACACCTCTTTGCACAGGACACCACGCTCACCGATTTTAGTGCACGTGGATGGTACCTCTTGGTATCAACACAAGCACAGAGCTGTCCTCCTCTGAAACACGTCTGAGCTGCCTCCCCACGTCTGTTCTCATAATAGTCTATTCTTCCACCAGAAATCCCAGAGAACAAGAAACACATCTCATGCACCAAAAAACTCACCTGAACTCCCTGAGCCAGAGTATATTTAACTGTTACCATGACCACAGGCCTCATGTAATTTGGCCCATTTCACCCTCCTCTTCCTGACTCCTAGAACACTGTTTTTTGGACTGCGATCCCTGACCTTTTTACTCTGAACTTCATGCCTCTGGCTCCTTCTCTTCCGGTCCTGCTGGGACAAGAAGCCTCCCCATCAACTTTTCCAGTGCCCCCTCCAGCCCTGACCCTGAATTCATCTGTCTTCCCTGTGCCTACCCCACTGGCAGGGTCAGCTCTGTTAGAGCCAAGACTGGCATTGTCACTGCACAACTGGCAGCAGGGACTACAGCGTCTGGCAGGGTGAGAGCTAAGGAGTGGAATGAAGAAGCAGCTCCAGACCTGGACACTGCTCCATCTGACAGGCAGATTAGCCAAAGGAAAATGTAATATACCCAATAGAAATTCCAAGCTATTCCAGTACCTTTTCTCCTCTGTCCACACTTTGAGTAAATGCCTAAGTTATGCTTCCAACACTTCCTTTTAAAGAATCTTTTTTTGTGAAGCTAATTCATTTGCAAGTCCTATCATCATCACATTTGGTATCTTAATTAGCAGATTGTTCTCCCTGAAGCTACATGAAAGAGATAATTAATCGTCAGTCATTCCACTTGCTTTTTTGGCTTTCAACATGACAGGACTAATGAAAAGTTGGGTAAAGAACTCAGTTAAGAAAATCCAAAGAAGACAGGCTTTGGGCTACTGATGGTTATCTCAGCTCAGCCCTGCTACCTGATTGGTTACTTCAGGCCTGGTCCAGGGATTACCACTTCATCCTGGAGGTAAGGAGACTGGGAAAGTTCATTTCCCAATGGACCACAACAGGGAAGTGGAGAAGCATCAGTGTCCCTGGCTGCAACAAAGCCTGCTCTAGCACATAGTACCAGGTTTTAACACTAGGCCCGTGGGCACAGCAGGAGTAAAGTATATTGTGGAATAATGGCCTGAGTCTCAGGCAGTTGCTATACAGCCTAACAGGCTTCAACAGTAACACTAAGGGTTGGTCTGAAGCAGAGGGTGAGGCCCTTCTCAGCAGAGCAGCTCTTTATACAAGGTTCCAATGTGTCTCTCTCCTAAGAGTTGGTGGTTATGGCTCATACCATTATATTTAACTTGGCTGTTACTGGTCCCACTGGGAAGCCCTTGTTACCTGTTCATCCCGGGCAGGTTGCCCCAGAAGTATCGGGCTCTGTGAGCAGCAGACACTTTGATGGCATCAATCATCACTGGGTTACACTGTGGGGAGAGAGCAGGGCAGCTGCTGGGAGCCCAGGGCAGAATGCAGGCAGCACTGGAGACATGGCTGTCCCTTACTGTGGGGGAGGTATGACTCCTGCCAGGCAAGGGACTGACCACCCCTCAAAGTCTGAAGGACCAAGCCTGTGTCTCTCTGTTAATGGTGTGGAAAGAGACCAGATCAGACTGGCTGCTCTAAGAAGCGGTATTCCCTTGGCATGTCAGATCATTACAGAAGCTCTGGGTATGGGTGGTGAAGGCAGCTCAAAACTGAAATCCAGCAAAATGAATGTGATCCTGGTTATGGAAATGCAGTGCTGGCAAAATCTGCGTTCTGTCACTGATTGGCCAACGTTCACAAGGCATGAGGAATGGACCAACCAGTTCCAGAACCTCCCTAGCAGAACAGAGGCTTTAAAGTCAGGGGAAAGTAAGTGTATATGTGTGTGTGCTCAGTCATGTCTGAATCTTTGTGGCCCCATGGACTGTAGCCTGCCAGGCTCCTCTGTACATGGAATTTTCCAGGCAAGAATACTGGAGTGGGTTGCCATTTCTTCAAGATCTCCCTGACCGAGGGATCAAAACCTCCTGCATTGGCAGGCAGATTCTTTACCACTCACACAACCTGGGAAGCCCTTATATATGTACATATAACATATAGTATTTACTACAATGCTTGATGCATACTAAGCAGTAGGTAATTATCTTGCTTATAGTCCCTAAAGCAGAATTTCTGAGCACATGGGAGAGAAAATTTCTGGTAAAAATGTCTGGTCCAGTCTCATGGTGCCTCCAAAAGTATGCTAGTTTCATCGTCTTGACTTCAGTGGGTTTGGAGTGAGGCGAGAGATCAAATATTTCCCATATACTCTCAGAACTAGCCACGCCCGCCATGGGGAACCATCAATTCCAACCCTGGAAATAACCCTCACCCCAGTGCCAGCAGGGCCTTCCCATTTGTGTTATCCTGAGAATCAAGACTCCAGACGTCCTTACCTCCAAAAACCGAGAGATGTCCCGCTTGTCGCCAACCTTCATGGCCACCACGTTCTCAAACATCCAGAAGAAAGGCCGGTCTTCACCCTCCTTGGGGCGAGTGTAATTCAGCAGGTGGTAGAACTCAAAGAAGAGCCGGCCTGTGCCCTCTGAGCCCACAGAAGACAAGGGCAAAGCCGGATTCAAACCCTTGGGCCCAGTCTTCCATAGTAAGAACAATGCATTCCCAAGGACTAGCTATGCTGATGACTTACTGTCCCCTCTCCCTGCCACCCTCTAGAAAGACAGGCATCAGCAGTGTGACTCATTCTTATCTCTGGCAACTGAGGAGTCACAATGAGGCATGAACAGAGCCAACAAGTACAGTTGGCCAGAAGATAACAGCTCCTCCTCAGGGCACTCTTCCCATTCAGCAGTCAGGGGACGTAGGGTCTCTTGGGGTCTATGTGAGAAGGGATGCTCACCATACAGGCCTTTCCTGGCAGGGTTCACATTGGAGAGATCATTGCATGGGCTTCCGCCAATCACCAAGTCAAATGGGCCCCATTCTTCAATCTGCAGGAGAAAAACAGTCAGGGCTGGGGCTGGGGCTGGAGAGATGAACAGCCTGGATTCCAGGTAACTAGCTACAAGAAAACCCACTTCCAAGTCTTGCTTGGTCATTTAAATTTCCTAACTTCACTTTTGACCCAAGAAATCCAAAAGCTCAGGGTTCTCTGAGATTGATTTACATCTGAAGGATTTTCAAGTTGTAACCAAAGCTGCTCTTCTGCCACAACCCTGGGCAGGTAGGCAGTGACCAGATGGTTGTAAGGATGTGTGGGGTTCAGGGAGAAGAGTAACGGGGTCTTTCCCTCACGTTTTTCTTTGTGATGTTCCTGACGTCATTCACATATTTGATGTTGCCCTCATGCTTAACGGTGCCAACGGCAATGGACTCTTCACACACTTCAGAGGCCACGTATTTCTCCACTTTGATGCCCAGTTCTTTGAGGACCAAGTACCCTATGGGGTGGGGGGGTTGTCAAGGGGAAGAGAAAATGAGTCAGGATTGTCCTGCCCAGGGCCCATCCTTTCAGTGATTGTCTGGAAGCCATCTCCAGACAGTCTTCAGAACTCAGACCAGAGACATGAAGATCATGGCAGTCCTCAAGGGAACCCGTGCTAACAGCAATGAAACTGGGCTCCCTAGACCCTCTGCTGTGTCCGCTGGAAGTTATGTACTAAAAGTGACTGGTGCGTAGCCAAGTGCAAGGCAAAGCCTCAAATCTGGTGAGCTATAGTGGGAATAAGCCATTGTACAAACACAAATAGGTCTTTAGAACCTACTTTCCCCAAACAGAGGGGAAAACAAGCCACTGGTGATGTCCTGGGAGTCTTTTAACGCTGTCAGTGTTTTAGGCAGGGGGACACTGGTGAACAAAAATACATATTGATACAAGTGATGCTAGATGCACAGCAACTGATTCCCACTGCTTCCTACTCTGGTAAAAGGGAAATGTTCCTAACAATATATTATAAGGCACTTCTGAGAAATGAATCAGGCAAAGCCCCTAGAGGCAACACATGTTGGCTATGCTAATTCTACACATGGGAAACCTGGGGGAAATGGGAAGGAACCAAGACTCAAGATACTGGGTGATGGTTCAGAATTAATCTCCAATATATCTATGATATGAAACAGAAAATAATTTCCCAAGATTCCTAAACATAATAAAAAATAAAATCCATGCCTTTAAAGGAGGAGGACCAGTTGGGTGAAATGATGGAGAGGTTCAAGGAGAGAAACAGGAACCAATGGATTTCTCAGAACAGGTGACCAATGGGTAATCCCAGGAGTCTTTCCTAACATTGAAATCAAATACCCGAAGCAGGTAAACATCTCTAGGTGAACTCTAAACTCACCTGTTGCAATTCCATCAAACAGTGACAAGACTCGAATAGGCCGCCTTCGGTTTGCAGGAATTGCAGGGTATAACTTGGGGGCTTCCTGCCAGGTTCATTAAAAAAAAAAAAGAGGTCATAGAGGTGGAGGTGCGGAGGTGGGGCTGGCCTTCCTCAAGGGCTACAAGCCATGTGTTTTAACCTTTCTGAGCTGGGATGCCCCGAGGAGCTTCAGCACAGATGACCCTTCTACCCTTAGAACATGGAGCAATGAGACTTTGACACTACTCCAGACATGTGTTCCTCCATGAACCACAGCATGCAGCCCAGGAAAAGCCACTTTCCGCCAGACCTGAGAGTAAGTCTAAGGCGTCCCTCCCCGCTGCAATTCTACTAAAACTAAGACTGGGTCGATTCCATCTTATTTCTTCAGCAGGCCCTTGAAAACCCAAGCCAAAGAAGGGAGGGATGAACCCCAGAGCCGCCTGGGAACTGTACCCGGGACCATTAGCCAGGTCTCCAGCCTGAGCTCTCAGATGCTCCTTTGGACAGCGGAGCTTTGTTTGACAGACTGGGGTGGATGCCAGGCTTACGTATTCGAGCCCAGGGTCGCTGGTGAAGAAGGCCTGCAGACGCACACTCCAGTCCTTGCGGCGCCGCAGGATGCCATGGCAACGCTGCGGGAGACACATGTAGCAACTCCAGGGCTCCTGCAGCTTGGCCTCCGCCGCTGTGCCCGCGCCCACCAGCACCTCCAGGCACTCCACACAGAAGCACCTGTGCCAGGCAGCGGGGAGGAGGGCGCCTGTCATCTGATGGCTCTCCTGCAAACCCACCCTCCCCATGGAGATGGCTCGTGGTGGCTGAAACCTTCTCAGGCCCCTAACTGCCCTCCCCATGGGCAGGAAGGCCTGTGTCTTTCTTGGGGACCCATGCCATCCCCAGAATTGACGGAGCTCTGGGGTTGATGGAGAGTCATGCCAAGCCTGTCCCTACATCCTAGTTCTACTGTAGGGATGCACAAGCACTTCAAGGACAGGATCCCACAGAATAACCCTGCCTCCGGGTCCTGGCTCCAGGTTAGCGAGGAGCTGGTCCCCAGGCCTGGATCCCGGTGGGGGAGCCCTGTGGCTCACCGGCAGCAGCTAGTGTTGCTGCATAGGAGTAGCTCGCGGCCCTCGCAGCACACGGTGCAGTAGGACTGGTAGCCGTCGTCATCATACATGTAGAAGAGCTCAAGGAAGCGGTCCTGGCAGCCAGAGAGAAACACCTGTGAAATCGGAGACTGGGGACAGCCAGCCAAGCCCGGACGCAGGCTGCCCTCGGACGCAGCCACATAACAGTGGCTTAGTGACCTGGCGGCTCGGTGCCCTTTACAGGGACAACTGGCCGGGTCTGCAGGCCAGCACCCCTGGGAGGGAAGGGTAGGGTGATCGGCCGGCTCCCCTAGAACCTTTCCTGCTGCCTACACTTGGGAGGCTTTTCCTGAGGAAGTACGGGGGAGCAGGCAAGGGGCAGGAAAGTTCAGGGTGGGGATTGGACTTACCCGGCATGTCTGGCAGAGCCCACCCTCAAAGAGAGGATGGAAGGACACGGGGTTTTTCCTACCACAGGACAAACAGCTATCTGTAAGAAAGACAAGGCCGCTGCTAAAGCCTTGGGTCTCACTGCGCTTTACTCCATGCTAGGATTATGCAACCATTTGTCTCTGGAACCATCCTCGATCCCACATGGAGAGGGTTAAATCAACAGCTCCAAGTAGAAGGTCCCACAAGACAGGCAAAGGATCGGCCCAGAAGGAAGACTCGGAGGCGGGGGTGGGGGTGGGGGGGAACCTAGGTGTGCTGGGGGGCAAAGAACAAGTAGCTGCACCAGCAGAGGCATATGCTTGGAGAGTCTGGTATGAAAATCTTCACAGACTGGGACTTCAATTTGTGGTCATGCTAATTTGCCCATTGTCCGAGGATAGGACTTTACTGTGACCAATCCTACACACAGCCTGTTATCTGTGATTTCAAGAGCCAGGGTCCTTGTCCTATTAGGCTTTCCTGCCTCCTGTCCCATCAGCGGGTCTTACAGATCTGACCAAGTGGGCCAGGCCTATCGAATACCAAGCACCCTCACCCCACGCCAGTCCAGGAAGCAGACAGATGGCCGAAGGAGTCTTGAGGGCTGGGGAAGATAATGGGTCTAAGTCCTGAGGATTGTCAGGGTCTGCTCCAAACGTGGGCTCCCTGGGTCAGCAACTGTGGTTTTCTGACCCCTGAAGTGACTAACCATTTCATATGCTGACTAAAGGACATGGGGCCGAGGATGCAACAGACAGCCTTCCTCACACATTCCAAGATCCATTAGAAGTGTACCGGGTTCCCAGCCAGGGCAAAGGAACCAGAGCTGGTTTGAGAATGACAGTCTTCCACCTCTGAGCCAGTTGCAGTGCTTATTCAGGGGGCTCAAGAGGCCACAGATTGTGGTTTCAGGTTTGTGCCTCTCCTGGCCCACGTGTCATTTCCTTCCTGTCCCCAAGCATCCTTCGTGAATCATCCTCTAAGTAGCACCTGAGTAAGGTAGCTGTCCACACCTCGCCCCGAGGTCAAGGCTCGGGGTTAACTTCTGCAGGGCAGGGCAGACCAGCAACATGGGAGCACTGGCTGGGAGCACCACTGAGGGAGGGGAGCCAGCAAGGGAGAGGGTGTTACCTTCCAGGTTGCCTTTGTTGCTGGCAACATCCGAAGCCATTTGTTCTGTTAAGAAAAGACAGGTAAGGTCAGAGAGCCTTGTGCAGGCTGCTCCTCCCTACCTGCCCACAACCAATTGAGGGGGGATGCATCCCCAGCCTCCCGCCCCAGTCACCTCGACTCTGGTCCTCCTCTCCTCGGTCTTTGCCGTTGTTATAACAATTTGTCTTGAGGCGCTTGGGTGGGGGGCAGTAGTCAGAGGTGGCCGAGTCGTCAGCTGTGCGTCTCCGCGTTTTACTCTCTGTGAAAGGTGAGGAGAAGGCAGCCGTGGCTGGGTGGGAGGAGGGTGCTGGGAGCAAAGGACCCTGTGTTAGCATCCAGCTGTGACCTGCTGGGTGTCACACGGCCCCTCTATGGACAACTTGGATGAGTTATCTGAAACTCACATGCCTAACCAATGTATAGGACCTTAAACAGCTATAGGTGCAAAATACCTCCTCTAGATCCAGCACAAGGGAAGTAGAAACAGCTCAGTCTACAGATGTAACCGACTCTGCCCAAGATCTCTAATAAGCTGAAAGCCACAGGTAGCTACTGAGAACTGGCAATCTCACCAGTGTGGCTGAGGGACTGGGTTTTAATTTAATTCTGATGCAAAACTTTTGATAGATCCCATTAACTAGTCCATTTGGAACAAGTTGGACATTGGTGAAAACACAGATCAACTGTTTGTAATGAAAACTCAATGTCCCAATTGAGATGTTCTAAGACACTTAATAAGTTATGGAAAATAGACTATGATTTTTTATACTAAACGCTGGAAACAGATTAAGTATATGATCAATATTAATTTCCCTTTAAGCTTTTTGAGATGGCTCCTGTTCTTATTTCTATAAATTCTATTTTTTATTCAATCCACACAGCATAATTTATTAAAGGACATGGTTTAATTTGACTCTAACCCTAGGAGAGAAAATTACACAGCCATTAATATCATAAGGACACCTCAGTGAAAAAATGACATTTAACAGTGCTTATACCATAAATATTGAAAAATGAAGGGAAAGCAGGAATCCAACCAGTGTATAGAAAGAGCTGGAAGGAGGTGCACACCCAACCATAGTCACCTGGAAGGCAGTTGTGAGGGTTGGAGTGAAGGGGGAGGTGAGAGTTCAGGGTGACTTTTAAACAGATTTGATTATTTTCGGAGTACTTTATGTGCAAACAGATTGAAAGAAAGTGCAGAGAAAAGAGTGCACAGTCAAAAGATGGTGAAGGAATACCGTGTTTCCTGGCTTCTAAGTTCCTACTGCCTGTACGACGAACCTTCGACTTATTAACCACTTTTTGGGGGGGAGGGACAAAACAGAACAGAGAACACTGCGTTAAATGGAAGGATGAGAAGACATATCCTGGATTTCTGGAGAGACAACAGGAAAGCAGCTGTCTAAACATGGAGGCACTGCGATATTGGTCAACATGAGGATAGATGGTGCCCCTTCCTAAAGGGAGGTGATCTAGATTTGGGCTGTCTAGAGGGTTTTTAACACTTTCCTAGTTTTCTCCAATATGCAGAGCTTAATTTTTTCCCCTTAAAAAAAAAAAAAAATTAAGGTGCTAGTGAACATTCCACCTTGAGTCTGTTTACTGAAGCTTTCAGAACAGATTTAATCTTTATTTGTACTTGACCGTTTAGCAGGAAAAGTGGCCAGTGAAACCAGAAATGTTTGGGTTGTTTTGGGGGGAAAAAACTAACTAGCCAGCCAGGGTAACCGACTGCTGGAAAGCCGGGGTGGGGTGAGAGGCAGCAGGCATGACTGCACCGCCTTAAGGGTGCTCGCATCAGCAGTGCCAGGGGGTGCCACAGGGACTCACTCGTACCTGGTTGCTTGTTGTTGGGTTTGAGACCCTCGACCCCAGTGGGCTTAAAGCCTCCATGGGCCCACTCCAACATGGGCTTCAGCTGATCCTCCAGCGAGTCTCCAGGGCTGCTGGTGAATGTCTTGCCAGCCCGGATTCTGGCTTTCTGCCGAGATAGAGATAGAATCTGATAAATAGGAGGGGTGGGTATTTGCCTGGCTTGCCCCACCCAGGACTCCCCTTGCTGGGGCCTCATCCCCCTTCACACTGGGCCCTTTCATAGTCAGACAGCTGTCCTGAGCTGTGGTATGTGACAGGGAGGGAGGAGCAGGGACAGTGTCCCCGCAGAGGCACCAAACATGATCTCTTCCCTGTAGAGAACTGGAGTGGTCAGCTCAGAATTAGCCGGGCCACTCTTCGCTACAGGAGAAGTATCAGTCAGCGCTGGCTCGTGGTCTCTGAGAAAGCTCCAAGTTATTAATGAAGGTGTGGAGGTGAAGCCTTAATGATGTCTAATTAGGCCTAGTGCTTGGTCTCACCCATGCTGAATAGATGACTCTGATGACTGCAAATCCAAGTGAAGGCAGAGGAAAGGCAGAGCCTGACGGGTCCCACGGACAAGAGGAGGAAGCAGCTGACCTCAGCAGCTGCACAGTCTTGGCCTTTTGAGCCACAAGCTCTGAAAAAGCTTGCTCACTAATGCCGATATCGCCTCCTCCTTCCCAGGGCTCCTCTTTCCTCATTCTGAGGGCAATTCAGACAGACACCAGCGGGACACAGGGGCAGCGCTGGGAAATTATGGACAGTCTCAAACCCCTTCCTTCCCTTCTCAGCATAGCCCATTAGACCACTCTCTTTTAACCTCCTCCCACTGGCTGCCCAGGTCCCCTCCAAGTCATTCTTAGCCACACTGTGGATTGAGTTGGCTTTCTGTATGTTTCTTGCTTTAATCCCATTCTTGGGGCCAGGCCAGCCACCCACTGCCAAGTTACCTCCAGAGCATGGTACATGGCCTTCCTGTAAGAGACCAGCTTATTGAAGGTCGCCAGGTTAAAGTGCTGGCTGAACAATCCCAATGCCACCAACTTATCTGCTGGAATCTAGAAGAGAAAGTTGTCATCAACATCCACCCACAGCCTGTATCTGGGGTGCCCTGGGTTTCTCTTGAATTTATCTCTGGGGATCAAGTTTGCAGATATTTTAAGAGCAAATGACCTAAATAGCCCCCTTGCAGCTCAGTTTTACTATTTGCCATGGATGCTCCAACTTTCAAAGGGTTTGGCACATGTTCTTACCTCCTTCCTAAGCATGACAAATAGCTATGATTACTATTTACTATTTATTTCAGCCATTTATTAATTGAGCTAAGGGATGGGATTAGAGAATAGTACCTGGCACACAGTTAAAGCTCTTTTTAGTAATTATGATTTGCTGATAAATGAATTCCACTGGGGCTAATGATCTATAAGTCTCATTCCCACGTCCCCAGGTCATCATGAACCATTCAGGTTGCCAATGACGAGATGAAACTGGGCATTCAGGTTTCAGAGCTCAAGAGACATAAAATGTCTCCTTCTCCCCAGTGCTGGCACTCATGATCACCTTTATTTACATTTCTAAGTCTGGTCAACCATAGGGGTGTCATCACCACTGATGAAAAGAAACTGGGGTTCAACAGCTGTGCATGGAAATGCAGGTGCCACCGCAAGGCCAAACTGTTTCAATACAGCCTACAGCCTAAGCAGGCCCCATACTGCAATCACATCCTGTAATGCTAAGACAACAGCATCTTACTAGAATCAGATGCGGTTGTGCTAAGCACATTTTATGTCTCACCAAAGAAATTACAACCCTTCCATGTTTCTTTTCATTTCATTTCACACAAGTCATTGTCCACATTCTTAACAATTAGACGCTTCAGGGGGCGCACAGGTCCCAGATATTTGTCTTTTGGCTCCCCCTGCTGGCCAGGGAGGACCTCTACATGTGAACTCTCCCTATCAGGGAGACTTCAGGTCATACTATTGTTACCCTTTGAGAACAATGTTGCTAATGGGAAAAATCCAATGAGAAAACCAGTCTCAACTTACTAGCTGGTCCTTCATTCCCAGATCTGCCTCCATCCCTGCCAACCTGCGAACTTGTTCCTCACCTAACCTCTGGACACACTGAGGGATGAGCTAAAGACAACATCACAGGAAAAGTATTGTTCATTGCATTCTAATCAAAACCTGGAGTCTAAGAAGATGTCTTCAAAGGTGGAAGAATCAAATCAACCTGATTCATCCCCAACACAGATTCTCAATAAGAAAAATAAGCTTTAAATAGCTAATATCAATAATCAAGAAACGCTGAAATCTCCAAAGGACTTTCCTATAACTGTCACCAAGCAACCCTGGATTCATCTCTAAGCCCAGCCAGGGATAAATGAGTCAGAGACACCCCCTTCCTATCTCTTTCAGGCTTCTCAAATGGAATACTTTGAGAGTATTTTCCCAGGTGGCCACTCTTGCCCCTCAGAACCTATACTGGTGACTGCCGCAGAGAAATAAACCGGAGGCCAATTTGTCACTGATCAGAGCTGTGAGCCGATGTGAGCCTCTGGACAGACGGAGTCACTGAGCCACATTCATCGCAGAGCGCAGGCTGTTATGTTAAAGGGCAACTGTAAAAGTAAGTGAAGGAAACCCTGGCTCTGTCCATCAGCCCATTAAGTAAGGTCCATCTCACCCTGGACTCACCTCAGAGAACTTGCCATCACCAAACCACTGGACCCACCGCATGCCAGACATTGCCTGCCGCTTGGAGGTGGCCTTCCAGGACACCACCATGGCAGGCCACCAGGAGAAACCCTTGATCTTGCCCCATACAAGATCTCCTATTCCAAACTCTTTCCCATCCTGCAAGAAGAAAAACCACATGAACAAAATCACAATGAGACAGATTGGCTGGACTGAGGAAAAACCTTCCGTGTTCCACTGACCCTGATGGCAATTGCCTTAAGAGTCCAACACAGGGCTTCCTGCAAGTGCAGGCAGAGTTCCTCAGGAAATTCCCTACCTCCTCCAACACTTCCTGGTTGAAAACTCAGAAGAATTGCCTGAAAATAAGGAGCAGAGGATGGGCAGATTTTGTTGCATGACAAAAACATGGGCTTTTACAGATTGGACCTACAGTATGTCACCTGTAACATCTGACTTTGTATCAGGGAAACATGTTAAACTGCAAACTAAAAAAAACCTGAAAACTCACAGGAAGAACTGAGCAAAAATCCTGGATATTCCCAAAGGCCATCAAACAGGATAGTACAAGTCATTAAAATGCAAAAAGAAAAATTTTGCACCTAAAATACTTGCTACAACAAAAAAAGGGGAGATGCCCATGGAATCATGCAAGCTATTAAAATGTATAAGATCTACTCTAAAGTCATGTACTCGGAAAACAATTTCTATATGGTATGTGTACATACATAAGAAAATACATATGTAGCAAAGCCTGAGTGAAGCCAACAAGCTCAACTGGTTGATGATGAACAAAACTCGATGGATTAGACAGGAAAGTGAGGAAACTTCAGTTCCTAAGGAAAAGAAGCCAACCAAAAACTGTTTATATATATATACACACACACATAAATGATGAATAGAATTATGAATTATCTATGCATATACCTTTCTAAGCACAAAGATGTAATGTTCAGAAAAAATTAGGAGGCAAACTCATCTGGTGCCCGAGTTAATAATGTCAAGATAAGGATACAGGAAGGGCCACTCAACACATGGAAAACACACTTGGAGAATGAATCAATTATTGTGATGAAAGTGACAAGTCGTAAGTCACCTCTGGGTAACTTTTTCCCAGTAGTACCTGATACTCAGTGCTGTCTGCGTCTCTGCCCTCTGCGTCCACCTGCGAGGTCTCCACGCTCTCCTGCTGGCTGTCCTGGGCCAGGCGGGCGTAGGGTGTACTGCTGCTCTGCGGAACCACATCCTCGTCTGTCAGGTCGATGGTGAGGTAGGGGCTGGCAGGGGACGGCCACGGCGTGCCCGCAGAGGATCCCGTCCGTCGCCTCAGGGACTGTGAACACAAGGACGCCTAGAATGGGCCACAGCAGACCGGGGCGGTGACCAGAGACAGAGGCGCCAGCACAAGTGAGGCAGAGTGAAGACATAAGTTCATGGAACAGAGACCAACAGGGATAGTTTTCCAGGAACAAGTACGTGTCCCTTAGGTGGGGAGAGAAACAACTTCCGGAAGAACAAGAACAGAATTAAGGACTAACACAGGATAACAAGTGATGCTCAGAGAGGGTTTCCTGGTGCCTAGCCTTGCCGTAGGAGTTGAGAGTTGCTGTTACCCATGGGGTTGGCTCTAGAAGAGTCACTGAAGATACTAGGGAGACAAGACAGTTCTGAAATCAGTGGTTTGAGCTTATTCTGAGGAAGTGTTAAGGACCTAGTCCACAGGAAATCCTTGCACTTCCCACCAGGGTTCCGTCTAGGGATTAGGCCAGGAGAGAAGTCATCAGGCTTAGGAAGAGCTTAGCCAGCTCCCAGGAGAGAAAGGAAAGGCAGGAACCTGAAAGGGAGAGGAGTGTGAAGAAAGGAAGCAGGTTATATATATAGCAGCCACTTGGCATGGTGAGAGGGGCAGTTTCCAGACTGGGCGGGGTTAGGGATCTGAGCATCCGGGGAACCAACCCTGGTAGTTGAGAACTCCACGGGGGACTCGTCCACGTGGTTGCGGCCCTGCCGGCCTCGGGTGGAACGTGGGGAGGGCCTGTGCCTCTCCCGGCTGGAGGTACTGCTGTTATTTCGGGTTCGGACCTGGAAGCAAGAGCGGAGAAGCACAAGGCCTTTGGTGAATGGAGGCTGGGGGCTCAGACTGTGGGCCCAGAGGACTAGACTTGAGAGGCTGCCTCAGGTCAACAGGAGTGAAGGCGGTGGTTGAGTTGCTCTGGTCTGGGAACTTCCCACCCCTGAATACCCTAGTAAGTGGAATAAGGGGGCAGCGTGGCTGACAGGGCTGCCTGACAATCCACAGCAGGTCCCACTTGGCCTGGTACAGCTGAAACTGGCACCTGCAAATTGAACTGACAAATGAAATCCACATTTATTCCCAAAGACTTCTTTTCTGCAAGCATTATTACAATTGTTGCATTCTTCAAGACAGATGGGACCTCCCTTAGGCTTTCTTCTCAAAATGGCATGAACTTGAGTGTTGCAAACCATGTTCAAATCCTGCACACAAGAGTTAATGCTTAACCATGGGTATACTGGCATTTTCTGTCATCTGTAAAAACAGGACGATATACATCATGTGCTGGATAAGATTATCAATGGCACATGCCGTGGTCACCAAGTGTCAGTCTGCTTTCTAACAGCAGGTTGGGTGACCATGAGCAATAACTGCCTTCCCATTTCCAGACTTTTTAGTCATAGAATCCACCTACAGAAGCAACTTGGTCCCAAAGGTAACTGCACCACAGTCATCCACCTGTAAACTATACCCCTGGGCACTTCTTAGAATGCTCCCCAGAAAAGTAGAGAACTGCCATGTGAAAACCATCACCATCATAATTAATGAGGTTTGCTGTCATTTTCCAATTTCAGAACATTTGTTCAAAGTTCCTCAGGGAGATCCTAGACAAGGCTTTCAATGCAGGCATGCGTGTGTTTGAAGTGCCTCAGCTCAGGGGTAGACACTTACAGCTGGGCTTTCAGGCCGAGTCCTGGTTTCCCGGAAGAGCTTTGGCATCACTGGAGTGTCGGAGCCATCCCCGTCTTCTCCCTCGCCATCTCCATCACCCGTCAGGTCCTTTAAAAATGAAAAACTGTGAATTTTAGGTGTCATATAACCGAAATAGTTTAAAAACGAAGAGTCAATCATATTGAAAGCAATATTGGTCTGAGTGACTTTAAAGATCTGCAGCCTCATTTTGTTCAAAAGATTTTATAGGTATGGGCACAAAAGGCTTCACGATGCCCTTTGCATTGATACCTTTTCTTTGGCTTTCTAATTCCACTGGGGTTTCTCCTGAATTCAAAACCATGATTTCATGGTTAGACTAACTTGCTATGCCCAGCAGGGAGACCTGGTCAGTTTCCACAATTAACAGCATCTGGGAGAAACAGGCTTGAGGAAGATGCTTCCTGATACAATAACCAAGAAGAAATGGCACCAGTCCTGTGTGAAGTACACGCCCCATGCTGCACACCAAACCCAACAAAAACTGAGCACAAGAGCCAGAGAGGTGGAGAGTGGTCTGATGTCTGGCCAGCGTGTTAAGAACTTGACTTTTCCCTTGCCAATGGAATTTGGGTCCATTCCTCTCTTTAAAACTAGTACAGTGGTTCTTCCCTTATAGCACAACAGAGTTATAGTGAGAATCAAGTAATGCATGCTTGCATGCTTGGCAAAGCATGCTTGCCAAGGCAGGGCACAGAGGAAGTTCCAAGAGATCAGAATATCTGTTCTGAGCCTCTGTTCCAGTGCTGTCCCTACCAGGTCCCCACAGCTCCTGATCCTCATTATCTGGGTGCCCACTGGTGGTCCTCCATGAGGACAAGAGAAGCCGTATGAGGGGGAGTTTTCATTGTCTACAACTTTCAACTGTGACTTTGTCCCCAACGTCCGATACCAATCCTTTGAAAAAATTAACTGAATTAACAAAACTCTAATATGATTCATAGGAAAACAGAAGGCATAAATAGTGTCAGGAGTAGAAAAAAAAAAAAAACATGGAAAAGCTACAACTGGAAAAAAGTAATCAAGTAGCAACCTTGCCATTGCAACATTGGTAAAAGATTTCAGTGATTGTTGAAAATCCCCTAATAAGGCAGGCACCTTCTTTCCAAAAGGAAAAAAAAATCCTTGAGGCCACAGGGCCACACAATCTTACTATCAAACCAGACACAGGTGTATTACAAGAAATAAAATCATACATTCATTTTACTCATGAATAGATGTTAAATTCCAAAATAGATCCAATTCAAAACATACCATGAGCAAGCTGGATTCCTTTCGGGGATTAAAAAAAAATCTTGTTACAGTATAAATTTATCAGTCCAATTGATCATCCAGATTGAGAAAAATATTCATTTCAAAAACTCAGCATGTGACAGCAGCAAATGCCATTCTAAGTGAGGTTGTTCTAAGTCTTCTGTGTACCTAGCAGTGTTGAAATTCCTCATTCAGCAACTATTTGCTGGCCACCAGTTTAAGTGGGACTCAGGTTCCCTACTTAATATGCAAACCATAGAGTTCCCCTGAACCCCAGAAACATGACCACAGAACCAGTACCTGAGTATAACTTAGCAGGCTGGAGACCTCCCTCTTGGACAGTCGTGAGCTTGATCTGCGGCCTGGAAGAAAGAACCAGAGTCTGTTGTGAGGAAGGGGCTCTCCTGGTCTCCCTAAACCCACTGACATCCTCAGGGGTTAACTCCTAGCCCTTGAACAGTTCCTTCCTATGCTGCCCAAATCAGCGGCCACTAATTCTACTAAAGGAGCAACCCAGTGCCTGCCATGGCAGCCACATTAAGTGCTCACATGTGGCTCCTCGCTGTTGTGTGAACAATGCAGAAAGAGAATACTTTCACCCTCTAGAAAGTTCTATGGGAAGGCGTAACTTGAAGAGTTCTCTTGACAGCAGGATGAGACAATACAGGGGTTTCCAAACCAGCTGGGCCAGAAAATCTCAGCAGGGAGGATCCCAGGTGATGTGATCTGGGAGCAGCAGAGGGGAGGGGAAGATAGAAAGGGTGGGAGACTGGCAGCAAGCCTGAGATGCTAGCTGCCTCTATTTCCTCCCAGAAAAATGACAGGCCAAGCTGCAAGTGGAGAGGGGTGTCCCCCACAGAAGTGTCAAAGACCCCAGTCTACCTGTGCTGTGTCCACCCCCTTGTCTGGAACAGAAGGGCTCATTGGCTTGGGGTCACCTACTCTGTCCCAGCGGAGGTGACAGGAGAACAGGCAGCAGCTCTTCCCTTCCATGGGGCTGGGGCAGGGGCCGTCAGAGGCACAGGCCGTCCCAGCCTGCCCTGAGCCTGCTCGGGGGCCCGTGTCCCAGCTGCGGTCCACCATAACCACCCTCCCCTCCCCTCCTCCCCACCGGGCACGCCACCTCTGCCAGCTCTGCCACCGCGGATCTCGGGGGTGCTGACAGCCTCCAGGATCGGGGGCGAGGGCGCATCCTTGGAGTCAGAAGACTGGTCGCTGCAGCCCCCATTGGTGAGGATGGAGTCTTCCCTCCTGCTGGCGTCCTCCTCTCCGTTGAGCTGTCTGGTGTCTCCCTTCATTGTTTCCTGTCGGAAGGCCAGAGTGAGGAGGGTAGCAGAGATGCAAGGGTGGAAGGGGGTAGTGTGCCCCCAAACCTCTGCCAGTGTAGCCAAGTCCTCAGGCCAAGAGAGGGCCTGTCAGTGGTTCTCAGGACCCCGCCCAGGCCGCCCCCCAGAGCCTGCCCCCCTCACCAAACTCGGAGGCTCGGGACTTGGTTCCATGTGGCCACTCGACCCGAAGGCTCAGAAGCCAGCACCCAGGACAGAGGAGGGGGCTGGGCTGTGGTCTGAGGCTCAGGCTGCTCTGTACAATTAGCCGGCCACTTCAAACAATGCCATCTAAGGCCGGCCTGCCTGCCGCCAGCCTTGGTCCCCTCTGCCCCTGGCGCGCTCTCCCTGCCCAGTCTCTGCAGGGCCTCGGGAAGTCAGTGCATTATTTTCCCTCCTGACCCCTTTGTTTGCTCTCTCCCTTCCCCTCAATCTCCAGGTCCTCTTCCCACCGTCCCCTCCTCCCCCACAGAACAGCTTCTCTCTTCTCCATGGCAGCACAAGCCCCGCCCCATCACAACCTCGGGGGCCCATTGGTCTGCTGGCCTGTCGCTCACTCTCCTCCTCCCTTACCAGCTGGGGCTCAGAGTCCCAAGTTCCCAAGAAGGGAAGGAATGGAGGAGACACAGGGAGAAGGACTGGGATGGGTTATCCAGGAACATGTTCCCCATCTGCTCCAACCCCACCCCACCTCTGGGCCTTTGCCTCCCCACCCCTGCCCACCCTGGTAAGTGCAACATCTCTAGGCTATTAAGCTAAGACCAGCTCCAGACAGGTCTTCAGGCATGCATTGGAGAGCTGTGCGACCTTTGACCTGACCCTACTGCCTGCAACATGTTGGCCTCAAGAACATGCACCTTGCTCTCATTTATTCCTCTGAATGTGATTGTGGGCCCATTTTATAGAACAGGTAAACTGACCCACAGACCTGGTCAGCCTTCAACATTAAAAATAAAAACCTCACATGAAAGAGGAAGGGTGCCACATCCTCCTGGTCCTGGAACCCTGCTTGTGAGTTTTCCCCAGCTAACAGCTGCCTATGGACGCTGAGCACTCCTGGCCTGTATTCCCTATCATGGAGACAGACTCACCACATAGTACCCAATGACCCAAGCAAGCCTCCCAGGGTACCTTCTAGAACCATCATCTAGGCTACTGGCTGTGAGCTGCAGTAGGGATGCTGCCAGCACACCCACCAGGGGGCGCTGTGGGGCTCACTGATGAACTTCTCAGCGCCCCCGGGTGGATATGCAATGTCCTGGCAATGGCAACCCACTCTGGTTGTCTGGTTGTCTGGAAGAAGGCAGTGGTACCCCACTCCAGTACTCTTGCCTGGAAAATCCCATGGATGGAGGAGCCTGGTAGGCTGCAGTCCATGGGGTCACTACAAGTAGGACACAACTGAGCGACTTCACTTTCCCTTTTCATGTTCATGCATTGGAGAAGGAAATGGCAACCCACTCCAGTATTCTTGCCTGGAGAATCCCACGGATGGGGGAGCCTGATGGGCTGCCATCTGTGGGGTCTCACAGAGTCGGACACGCCTGAAGAGATTTAGCAGCAGCATGGATTCTCAATTCCACCCTGGGAACCAGTCCATCCCCCAGGTAAGTAAACCTGATACTCCCCACAAGGCAGAGGGACCACAGAATCATCCTGCAGAATTCTCAGGCACCTACTAAATCAGGGTCAACATTTTCACAGGATCCCTTGGTAATCAATATCCAATTAAAGAAACACTGCCTTGGAATTCCCTGGCAGTCCAGTGGTTAGTTCTTTCACTGTGAAGCCCGGGGTTTGACAGAAATTCTGCAAGCTGGATTTTGAGCAGATCAGTGAAAAGGAAAAAAAAAATACAGCCTGGGTCACAAATGCATACACTGATACAGAGCATTTAACCAACCCAAGTGGCCCAGAGTGTGCAGGTTCACAGTTCCTGGTGTATTTTCACTCAGTTCATATTAAGGAATCTTACCAGCCCCAAGGAAAAGGAGGACTGCCTGACCCAGCCTGATTAGCTGCTTCTCTAGCCCTTTTTTACTCTCAAGCTCTGACCCGGAAGAACAGGTTGTCTGACCCCATGGCCAGTTCCTGTCAGTCCAAGCGGCCAGTATCTCAGGAAAACTGCTGGAGTGTAGTTCAGAGTAATCATTAATTTCCAGTGTTTTGCCTCAGGCCAAACCAGTGAACTAAGTAACCTCCATGGCCGGGCAGAGGATGGGAGACTTGGCCGTGGGGTGCAAGACAGCAGGAGGCTCCACAGCGAGCTCTGGGGAGGGGAGAGGGGCAGACTGAAGACAGGGCTTCGGTCAGGAGCGGGTAGCAGGTCAGAGGCTGAAGTCTAGGGACAAGGCTTCCCTCTTATGCGGGGCTCAGAGCTCCCTCAGACAGTCCCCACCTGGGTCAACAGGAATCTCCCTCCTAGACAGACCCATTTGGAGCCTGCAGCCCAGAGCAGACAATGATTAACTATGACTAACCACCTCAGGCTTCCCTGGAGCCTCAGCAGTGCCAACTTGTCTGCCAGTCTGCTGGAGGGATGGACAGGTGAGCAGAGCTCCTTCCCAAAGCCAGATCTCAACAGTCAGGAAAAAATCTGCCCCTAGAACCAAACCCACAGGGACTGGAGGAAGATTCAAGGAAGGAAACCAACCTGCTGTATGACCAACTGCCCGGGTGCCCTGGGGTGAGCTAGGTAGGTAAAATATTCTTACTTCCAGTGGCGTCATTCAATGTGATTTCATTAAAAGTTCCTTCCCTGTAGTTTTCACCAACCAGAATTTGCAATGACATTAGATTCCTGGATTGGGAAGATCTGCTGGAGAAGGGATAGGCTACCCACTCCAGTATTCCTGGGCTTCCCTGGTGGCTCAGCTGGTAAAGAATCCACCTGCAATGCAGGAGACCTGGGTTCAATCCCTGGGTTGGGAAGATCTCCTGGAGTAGGGAGCCAACTACCCATGCCAGTATCCTGGCCTGGAGAATTCCATGGACTGTATAATCCATGGGGTCGCATAGAGTCGGACATGGCTGTGCAACTTTCACTTTCACTTCACTAGTTACAACACAGACACACTAGAGTCCAGAACTGGCAAGATTTAAAGATGCCCAGCTCGATTCCTCAACATTTTACCCACATTATTTTTCTCCTCTACATTATACACATGACCCAAACAGCTGCAGCCATGTGCTACTGTTGAGGCCCTCAACCTGGAAGCCCCATCACATATTCAGATTTCAGAAACCACAGGTCAAAACAAGGAAGGCTTCTCTCAAAGGCTTCCATAAGTAATCATCTGGCCCTCACGAAGATCCAAAAATCTTGATCACTTTTCTCAGTATTTACTACCATATGCCAGGCACTCTTCTGTGCTTTACCTGTATGAATTCACTTAATCCTTACATAACATTAATGTTATCCCTGTATAACAGATGAGCAAACTGAGGTTAGGCAACATAATACGTACTCATTCAAAAGAATGCTCCCAGGGAAGAAAGCGTGAATTTTAACCACATGCTTTTGGCAAGAGAAGATCTTAGCACCAGGGATTGGCTAATGAGTCAAAATTGGCATTTCCCAGATAATGTGGCCCCCAACACAAGCCAGTTCCTTTATCTAGAGGTATCCCAACCCTGAGAGGTGGCATCTTCCCCAGGGATTTTCCCAGAGGGGCTGACACACCAGCTCCAGGACACTTGCCACTTGGCTGTTAGCACGTCCCAGGCCCCTCCTGTCTGCTAAAGGCAGAACTGACACCTCTTAACCCCCACCCCAACCCAAGGCAAGTCCTCTCATCTACCTGCTCTCAACAGGCTCAGATGAATTAAGTCACCCAGCAAAGTGGCAGTGCCAAACTCATGCCCAGGCAATGCAGGGCACGTGCCTGGAACTGTTGTGCCCGAGACGAGTTGTGAACAATGCACCGTCCGTTCCAGGAGCTTTGGGAGCTGTATGGCTGAGGGACTTAACACCAGCTGAGTGTTCACCTTCACAGGAGGTGGTGGTCCAACCTCGTGACACAGGTGAACTCTGACCCTTTCCCAGAGGCTGGGGTCCAGCACGTGACTTCGGGGCAGTCAGCGATGCTGGGTGGGCTCACAGGCAAGGTTCCCCCTGCAAGACCCTGCCTCATTAGTGCAGGATGCTTGTGTCCTGACTGAACCAGGTCAGACGTGTCCAAATGCAATGTGGCAGACAGAAGGGTGAGTGGCACCCCCAATTAGACTCAGGAAGGAGGCGGCCCAGGGACTCCCCACAACCCAGCTATAAACCTGAGAAGTGATGTCATTCATTTCCTCTAGGCTGGTACCAGCAGCATAACTATTTCCTGGCACCCTGTAAATGTTAATTGCATTAATTAAACTTACAGTGCAGGAAGGGGGTGATGGTGGGCTTGATGGTGAGGTCGGCGGGGGAGGATATTGAGCATCCCTGTCCCAAGCTGTCCACCCAGGGTTTAGAGATTTGTGAAGCAAAAAAGGGAGAGAGAGGGTGAAAGACATTCCCACCTCCCCTATTTAAAAAGCTCCTCCTTGGCCTGTGGGAGGGGAATTGACTCCTGACTCCTCCCCTTGAACTGCTCAAGTATTTCTTAGCTATTTCCCAAAATGGCTGAGATAGAGCACTCAGCATGTACCGCAGAAGAGTTAGTTACTCTTATGATCCCCACTCTGCAGATGGGGAATCAAGCTCAGAAGAAACAGATAGGCAGCTTCCGGGTTCCCAGAGTGACTGTATGATGGAGACTGAGGCCTTAGTCCAGGAAGCAGATCTTAAAGACATCATAAAACAATGCAGTATGCACAGTTTTTAAGTTTAAACAGTTGAAAAAGTTTAAGGCCGGGGAGGGACAGCTCACCCAGGTGAGTGAAGAGAAAGAGGCAGTGGAGACAGTACAGACAGAGTCAAGGACAGAAACAGCTGTCCCCCTGGCTGGGGACGAGCACAGGGTCCCAGGTCCCTGTGCCTGATCAGGAAT